CATGTTTAATTCATGCTCCACAATGAAATCTAGAATAAGTTTGTTTTTCTGTCCAACTGTTACTTAGTCTTTCTCTTCTTTATACAGGGTGTCCCAGAATTCTTACAGCAGTTAAAAGCGTTAATAGCTTAGTTAGTTACTACTACTAGTTTTGGGTCTGTACATGACAAAAAACCTTTATCAGTCTTGATTGAATTTTTTATTTATTCATTTTTTAGCAGCACATTTCAATACTTTATGCAGTATGGATTAATTAGTGGATAGAGAGCTGGACTTGTAGTCAGGATAATCTGGATCATGACACAAACCAATAGGGTAAATCTGGACAAACCATTTTACTTCTTAGGGCCTCTGGAAACTCACTACCACCTCTTTGAGTGGAAGCATGGTGTAATGAATAGGACCCAGTCTTGGTGTCAGCAAGATCTGGGTTCAAATCCTGCCTCAGATACTTATTAGCTGTGAGACCCTGGGTAAGTCCATTAACTTGTCTGTGCCTTGGTTTCTTCATCTGTAAAACAAATGAGTTATTCACTCTCTGGCAAGGCAGAGTGACTTACCCAGGGTCACACAGCTAGTAGGTGTCAAGTATCAAGTATCTGAGACCAGATTTGAACTCAGGTCCTCCTGATTCCAGGGCCAGTGCTCTATCCACTGAGCTACCTAGTTGCCCCAGATGAGTTATTCTCAATGGCCTCTCATGTGGCTTTCAGATACAGATCTATGATCTTATTATGTATTAAGTTTTAGAAAGCTGACAAGTTGTGTTCATGGAACATAGGAAGCTCCCCGTCCCCTATCCAGGAGGCCCCTAGCTTGATGAATTATCATAGCTATTTTACATATTAAATCACTTCAAACTGAAGGATTAGCTCTTGAGGGGCAGCTAGAAGGTAAGGTATAATGCAGAGAGCACTAGACCTGGACACAGGAAAACTTGAGTTCAAATCCTACCTCATACACTTATTAGCTATGTGATCCCAGGCAAGTCACTTAACTTCTGTCTGCCTCAGTTTCCTCATTTGTAAGATGGGCATAAATAATAATAACTCTGCCCCAGAGTTGTGGAGATAAAATGAGATACTATTTGCAAAGTACCAGGCAATCTTAAATCACTATATAACTGCTAGCTATTATACTTTTGAGATACTGATATCACCAGTATCCTACATTTTTCTAATCAATACTTTAAAGCTAAGCTTTAGCATTCTATATATGTGCAATGCTCATTTTCTCTAACTTGGGTATAGGATTTGGGATGAATATGAAGCATCATGATTTTTAAAAGAAGATGTGTTACTATAAATGCAATTTTCTTGGGAAAAGCAGATTTCCTAGAAATACCATGAATTGTAAGAAGAAAATAGTTCCAGATGTCAGATGGAAATGCTTTCAAGCTGCAAGAACAAAATAGTGATTATTGGAAAACTGGGATGTAGCAAGTGATTAGTCAAAGGCAGAAGGGAAGGAAACAGCCACAACAATCTTGGGAGGAGCCTCTGTTGTCCCCTAGTAGGTCTCTTTGTTTCTGGGAAGCAGAACTTCTTGAATTTTCTTCAGTAAAGCTTTGGTTTAAAATATTACACAACTTCTTGTACAAGCCGCTAAAATTCTTTGGTTTTGCAGAGGATTCTTTTTAGCAGTGTAGTCAAGCACGTGAGCCCCAGAATGGCTGCATATTTCCACAATTTCTGTCCTTCCCTTTCCACTCAAGTCCTTATCCATTCCAGAGAGAATGTGCTGAAGTGACCCTTTTTTCCCCTTTCCTAACACATCCCAACTCCACTACCCTCAGTAACATCACTGACTGGAATCACAAGACCATACCATCATCAAAATCAGAGCTTCAAGGTCAACTAGTCCAATACCCTTAATTTTATAGATGAGACATTTCTATAGATGAGAAAACTGGGGCCCGGAAATATGAAATACTTGTATTAAATTATACAGGTAGAAAATATGAATACTATAAGCTCACATTTATATAGTGCTTTAAGATTTGCAAACAATATCTTAAACATTATCTCATTTGATCTTTGCAACAGTTTTGTGAGATAGGTTCTCACAACTTTATCCCAACTTTACAGAAGAAAAAAATGGATGGGAAATAGAAGTTACTTGATTAAAGTTACTCAGCTTTTTAGAAGGCTGCATTTTGAATAGGAAAAAAAGTACCCCACACAAATCAGGACTGTTAAGCTAAAAAGTAGATGTTTTTTCCTTATTTAAATAATTGAACTGAGTTGACATATCATTTGCCCCACTCCCACACATTTTCCATTTATTTAAAAAAAAATTTCTTTTTTTCCAATTAAATGTAAAATAATTCACATTTAAAAATTTTTTTGATTTCCAAATTCTCTCCCTCCCTCCCCTACCCCCTCATTGAGAAGGCAAGCAATTTGACATAGATTATACATGGGCAATCATGCAAAACTTATTTCCATGATATATCATCTTTATATACTATAAGGCTTGGTTAATTCTATTAATACTGAATGCTAACACTGATTTTTAAAGAATTTTTATTTAGTACTTAATTTTTCCCAGTTATATGTAAAGGTAATTTTTAGCATTCGTTTTTAAAACTTTGAGTTCCAAATTCTCTCCGTCCCTCCCCCTCCCCCCACCCCTTATTGAGAAGGCAAGCAATTTGATACAGGATATACATAACACTGATTTTTTTTAAACACTTACTTGCCAACCTGAAATAAAGGAGACCACCAAAGTGGCAAAAAGTCCTCAGTCTTTAACTGAGGCAAGGGAATTACAATTCCAGACACCATACAACAGCAAAGTACCGGAGTGCCCAAGAGGGGCAGAAGGGACGGGGATTTAAATACATTACAGCAGAGAGGCAATCTCATGGAAGTCACAGAGTGGAGAAGCAGAAGTGGAGGATTCTGGGAGTGGTGATATCTGGTCAGAACAGTGTCTCCAGGTGCAGCAATGGGGAGTTTCCAGAGATTTCCGTTGATGTCATATGACTGGCTCCAACTGGTTTAGACCTGCTTCAACCACATCGGTGGGGCTAGTGTCAGGTAGCTCCTTCTGATGACTATGTTCAACACATTTATGGCTTACAAAGCATTTACCATACACTCTGTCATGAAACTCCCAACAATAAGGGAGGAAGGAAGATGAAGGAAAGAAGAAGGAAGGAAATGAGCATTTATTAAGCACCTGCTATATGTCAGATACAATGCTAGACCTGACAAATACTGTCTCATTTGATCCTCACAACAATCCTGGGTAGTTTGTGCTTTTATTGTCCCCATTTTGCAGTTGTGGAAACTCGGACAAAGGTTAAGTGACCTGCCTGGGATCACATGGACAGCTGGGTGGCACAGTAGATAGAATGCCAGACCTGGCGTCAGGAAGACTTGAGTTCAAATCAGACCTCATACACTTGCTAGCTTTATGACCCTGTGCAAGTCATTTAACCATGTTTGCCTCAGTTTCCTCATCTGTAAAATAAGCTGGAGAAGGAAATGGCAAACCACTCTAGTATCTTTGCCAAGAGAACCCCAAACTGGGTTAAAAAGAGTCGGACGTGACTGAAATGACTGAACGAGTGCTAGTCACTGATCTGAGTCCTGGTGATACAAAGACAAAAGTGAAACAGACCCAGTACACTGTGTACATTTGTAAACCCATTCAACACAGAACAAATCTGAACTGGAAACAAAGGTAGTGACACAGAATGACTTTAGGAAGGGAGGGAACTAGCAGCGGGGCTTTGTGTAGAAGGCAGAGCTTAAGTTTCATCTTGAAGGAGGTAAGGGATTCCACCAGGAAGAGGTGAGGAAGGCTGCATTCCTCCTTTGGAGGATGGGCAGCCGGAGATGGAGTGCCATTTGTGAGGAGCAATCAGGAAGTCAGCCTGGCAGAACACTGCGGTGACAAAGGTAGGGCAAGCATTATTTTCGCATTTTCCTGGAAAGATTGAGGAAGTTAGAAGACTTGCACAAATTGCCACAACTAGCAAATGGCAGAGCTGGGATTCAAATCTAGGTCTTCCAACCCCCAATTCAGTGCCCCTTTTCATTAACCTTCACTGCCTCTGTGTTAAACAAAAGCAATGTCAAGTTAGATAGACAGTGACCTCATGATACCAGTGGCTGTTTATTTTAATCAATTATTTTTGCATAGCAGATGAAAATTGAGCACTACGTGCTTAAAAGGTTTGGCCAGCATCTTAACAGGAGAAATGAAATATAGTAGTAAGAGAATAATAGGCCTTGTAGGCAGAGGGCCCAGGTTTGAATACTGTCCTAATGTTTGCTGTGCAACCTTGAGCAAATCACTCAATAAAGCTTTAGTTTCCTCCTATGTAAAATGGATATAATGATACTTGCTGTACTAACCTCACACAGTTGCAATGAGTCAAGAGATCTTTGTAAGCCTTGACACCATATCAATATGACTCATTATTTTTGCAGTCATTTTTCAGTTATATCTTACTCTTTTGAGACCCCATTTGGGGTTCTCTTGGCAAAAATACTTTTGATTTGCTATTTTCTTCTCCAGCTCATTTTACAGATGAGGAAACTGAAGCAAACAGAGTTAAGTGACTTGCCCAGGGTCACAAAGCTGCTAAATGTCTGAGACCAGATTTGAAATTAGGAAGATGCATCTTCAGGCCCAGCACTCTATCCACTGTGCCACCTACCTGCCCAACACTTATCTCTACTTTGCATGGCAAGAATGCCTTGCTTTGCTTCTGACTAGTATCTTCAAAGGGAACCTAGAGCCTGCATCGGGGGGAGGGAGGGGAAGGTCCAAAGGCTTGAAGTGGATGAGGCGAGGAGAATTCCCAGCTCTCAGGTTTATAACCTGAATTCTTGATCAGACCAGTCATGCTAGCTGGGGGTGCAATTGAGTGGGTGTATGTACCAAAGGTACTAATTTACATTGAGGGCAACAAAGTAGACATCAAAGAGTTGCCTTCAGCTACTGAGAAGAAAACTATGGACAGATTGATACTTTTATCTTGGCAGGTGGTTACCCTTTTCTGAATCATCTACTTGAAGTGAAGGGGGTTTTTTTCCACCTGAGGAGATGGAAGGTAACTTTCTTTTTAAATAGTATTTTATTTTTTCCAATTAAATGTAAAGACAATTTTAAACATTCATTTAAAAAAAATTCTGAGTTCCAAATTTTCTCCCTCTCTTCCCCCTCCCTAGAAAGGTAAGAATTTTAAATATGTTACATATGTGCAATCATGTAAAACATATTTCCAAATTAGTCATGTTGTGAAAAAAGAAACAGATCAAAAGAAAAAAAAACACGAAAAAGATAAAGAAAGTAAAAATAGTATGCTTGGATCTGCATTCAGACTCCATCAGTTCTTTCTCTGAAGGTTGATAACATTTTCTATTATGAATCCTTTGGATTTGTCTTGGATTGTATTACTGAAAACAGCTGTCTATCATGGCTGATCATCGAATAATATTGCTGTTAACTTTGTGCAATGTTCTTCTGGTTCTCACTTCACTTTGCATCAGTTTATGTAAGTCTTTACAGGTTTTCTCTGAAATCTGCCTGCTCATCATTTCTTATAGCACAATAATATTTATTCTATTACATTTATATACCACAACTTGTTCAGCCATTCCCCAATTGATGGGCATCCTCTCAATTTCCAATGTTTTGCTACCACAAAAAGAATTGCTTTTAATATTTTTGTACATATAAGTCCTTTTTAAAGTGAACTCTTTGGAATACAGACCTAGAAGTGGTATTGTTGGATCAAAGGATATATACACAGTTTGATTTCCCTTTGGGCTTAGTTCCAAATTGCTCTTGATAACATTTAAGATCAATTGAGCCCCAAAAGGGCAAAAACCGTGAATTAATCTTTTCTCTCTGAGTGAACTAAGAATGCCCCTTCCTGTGTCAACACCTGAAGCTGACCAAGAGCATTCTTCTGTTAATGACCACTAAGGCTCCTTTAACTTGGACACTACCTTGAATCATGGGACTTTTCTTATTTTGGTATTTTATGGACATATGCTATGTTGTGTCATGTTAATGGTAAAGGAAATACAGATATCCTGGATCTATAATTTACACTTTGACATTCTCCTATCTTATTGTATTTACAACCTATTCAATTAAGAAAATTCCTTTCTCATGCTATGGTTAAACATATATGGGGACCATAAATCTGAGTAACACAGACATCCTGAGTCAGGGTTTAAATGTCCCCCTAAAATTGCGTGATTCAGTCAGAGTTAAAGCTCTGGCTCCATGTACATGTCGCTAACTTAAGGGAATAAAAAATATATATTTACTTACCACCTAGCTTGTTGTCTCTTTAACAAACTTTGTGGTCCATACTCTCCAGGATGGTTGGATCAGTTCACAACTCCATCAATAATGCATTAGTGTCCCAATTTTCCCACATTCTTTCCAACATTCATCATTTTCCTTTTCTGTCATTTTAGCCAATCTGATAGGTGTGAGGTGTTTTTATCTGCATTTCTCTACTCAGTAGTGATGTAGAGCATTTTTTTCATATGGCTATAGAGATCTTATTTTTTTTTTATCTGAAAACTACATGTTCATATCCTTTGACCATTTATCATTTGGGGAAGACTTGTATTCTTATAAATTTGACTTCATTTTCTATATATTTGAGAAATGAGCCTTTATCAGAGAAACTTGCTATATAAATTGTTTCTCAGCATTCTATTTTCCTTCTAATCTTGGTTGAATTATTTTTGTTTGTGCAAAAACTTTTTAATATAATTGAAATTATCCATTTTTTATATTGTAATACTCTCCACTCTTGTTTGGTCAAAAATTCTTTGAAGGGGAAATTTTTAGCAAGCAAACTTCCCTCACTTGAGATTCCTTGAAGGGAGGGAAACATGGGCTTCCTGAGAGTTTGGTGGTTTTGCTGTTAACTGCTGCACTCCTGGACGAAGTTGGCAGAAATATTTAGACAGTAACTGCATTAATTATTTTCAGAGTCTCTATTAAAACAGTGGTCTTAGGATCCATGCTTCAGGACTGACTGTGATAGATGTGAACTTGTTACAACAAGGTCAAGGCTATAGGTGCAGAGTCATAGATTATTATACCATGCAAGGTACTTTAAAAATCCTCTTTTCCATGTGCCTTATATTATAGATGAGGGCACCAAGGCCCAGGGAGGAAATGTGACTTTGTCAAAGTCTAATAGGTAGCTAGTAGTGGAGCCTAGATTAGAACACAGGCAACTAGGTGGTACAATGGATAGAGTACTAGCCCTGAAATCTGAAGGACCTGAGTAGAAATCAGGTCTCAGACACTTCACTAGCTGTGGGACTCTGGGTAAGTCACATGACTTCATTTGCCTCAGTTTCCTCATCTGGAGAAGGAGATGGCAAACCACTCCAGTATCTTTGCCAAGAGAACTCCAAATGGGATTGCAAAGAGTTGCACTTGACTGAGTAGCAACTAGTTAATTTTGTGCCTCAGGGAAAATAGCAGAAAATCTGCCCTCATATCAGCTTTTTAAAGTAAATTCAATTTTCTTGGGGAAAACCCTAAAATGCTCCCTTATCAAGGGAGACATAAATCTCTGAGTTGGATGTATGTGACCACCTCATAGTTCTTAAAATTAGAGGACCTAGAATACAATAAACTTACTCCTGGAAGTTGGACAATAAGGAAGAGAACGTCAAGCTCAGGAAGTAACTTCCTATTTCAACCAATTGGTTGCATACTCAAGTCAGCTGATTCTAACCTGCTAATGGAATCTGAGTGCTGTCACTATCCCCTGAAAGTGAATTCTACCAAACATTTAAAGAACAATTAATTCTAATACTATGCAAACTATTTGGGAAAATAGGCAGAGAAGGAGTCCCACCAAATTCCTTTTATGACACAAATATGGTGCTGATATCTAAACCAGGAAAAGCCAAACTTATAAAGGAGGAAAAAACCTATATTCAAATTTCCCTAATGAGTACTAATGCAAAAATGTTAAATAAAATATTAGTAAGGAGATTACAGCAATATATCACAAAGATCATACACCATGACCAGATGAGATTTATACCAGGAATTCATGGCTGATTCAATATTAGGAAAACTATCAACATAACTGACTGTATCAATAACAAAACCAACAGGAATCATATCATTATCTCAATAGGTGCAGAAAAAGCTTTTGACAAAATACAACATTCATTTCTATTAAAAACACTAGAAAGCATAAGAATAAATGGAGTTTTCCTTAAACTGATAAGTAGTATTTATCTAAAACTGTCAGCAAGCATTCTCTGTAATAGGAATAAGGAGAAGTCTTTCCAGTAAGTACAGGGGTAAGGATGGATGTCCATTATTACCACTATTATTCAGTACTATACTAGAAATGCTAGCTATTAGCAATAAGAGAAGAAAAAGCAATTGAAGGAATTGAATAAACAATGAATAAACAAAACTCTAGAGAATCCTAGAGATTCTACTAAAAACTGGTTGAAGTAATTAACAACTTTAGCAAAGTTGTGGGATATAAAATGTTGTTGTTGAGTCATTTCAGGCATGTTTTACTCTTTGTGACCTCATTTGGGATTTTCTTGGCAGAGGTACTGGAAAAGTTTGACATTTCCTTCTCCGGCTCATTTCACAGATGAGGAACTGACGCAAATAAGGTTAAGTGACTTGCCCAGGGTCACACAGCTAGTAAGTATCTGAGGCCAGATGAACTCAGGTCCTCTTGACTCCAGGGCAAGGATTCTATCCACTGTGTCGCCTAGCTGCCAGGATATGAATTCAAATAAATCATCAGCACATATGTATATATACACATATATGTATACGTATACGTATATACATATATGCATTGTATATATGTGTGTGTGTATACACACACACACACACACACATATATATATAAAAAACCAACAAAGTCCAACAGAAAGAAATAGAGGAATCCACATAAAATAACTAAACAATTTAAAATTCTTGGGAATCTACCTGCAAAGACAAACCCAGGAACTATATGAACACAATTATGAAACATTTTCACCCAAATAATGTCAAATCTAAGCAACTGAAAAAATAGAAATTGCCCATGGTCGAGCCAATATAAAAGTGACAGTTCCACCTAAATTAATTTACTTATGCCAATCAAAATACCAAAATTATTTTATAGAGCTAGAAAAAAATAATAAAATTCATCTGGAAGAACAAAAGGCTAAGAACACATTCGTACATACATACATACATACATGCATACATACATACATATGTCTAATGGCTTCAATTTTCTCAATAAAAATGGAAGGTAAAGTAAGGGGAAGAGAAAGGTGTGAGAAGTCTTGGGGAAGGAAAAGAATATGGAACAGCTTCCTTTAGGGGGTGAAATAAGGAGTTAATTAGAGAGAATAAAAGGACTGTCGTGTTATACTGAGGACCCAATTGAAGTCAAATGATATATACTTATTACTTATTTGGTCAGCAAAGTTGTGAGACCTTCTTCAGATGTGTTCTATAGTTTGTGATTAAGAGCAGAAGAGATTGATGGTGGGAGTAATCTATGGATTATGGATAATTTTTGGCTAGAAATGCGTAGTAATAGGGCAGTGGCGCAAAAGATTTGGGAGAACAGCATAGAGTCTATTTGTATAGCTATTGTGTTGAGGTTGGAGATGGAGATATAATGACCTGAGAATGTACTAAGGGGTGGAAGGATCAGAGGATTCAATGAGGAAAAATAAGATGTTTAGGCATGAGGAGAGATGGAATTATGGGAGTTTATTGTCAGAATTTCAGAGTGTCTAATTAGGATAGTGGAATGCTTTTGGATAATGAACCATGGTGAAATCTAGTGTGTGACCATCCCAATGTGTGGCTGAAGTAGAATGAAGAAATACGTCATGGGCTTTAAGAAGTCTGAGTAATTGGAAGATTGAGGAATTTGAGGAAGCATCTTTGTGAATATTAAAGTACAAGGACTGGGTTTGGGGAAGAGAGGCAGATGGTAATCAGGGTGCTGCACTCCTTGGGATAGGAGGAAGAATGACCTAATGTGCTGGTATACTATAGCTACCATAATTTTGATTGGGTAGAAATTGTCGATTAAGTGGAATTAAATGGAGGGAATGTTGTTGGGAAAAGGAGGCAGAGAGTCTGGCAATGACAGTGGGCAGCAAAGAATATTCAACACTCTTGTTAGTAGACCTAAGCAATATGCTATATTGTTACTGTGAATAGCATATGTAAAAAATTCCATTATTTTTGTGATAATTTTCATAATTCCTATTAGTCCAATACTTCAAATATCTATGATTTTATCAGCATTTTCTCCTCCAAATTAGATTGGAATTAGAATAGTGTGAGGCAGTGAAGAATATGGCATCTGCTAACATCAGACATAAGGAACAGACTTGTAAATTCCATACAGCTTTGCAACGCATTACTCAGAACAATGATACATTAGCCTGCTGCCCTGTTGATACCTTTTTAGACTCAGGGCATATCAGTGCCAGAAGAGTTCTCTGTTACAGATTGTCTGGTCTGATCTCATTTTGCAGGAAGCTGAAGCCTACTGAAGTGAAGTGATTTGTCCAAAGCCACACAATTGTTTAGTGGAAGAATCAAGACTTTTTGATTCCTGGTACATTGTTCCTTCAATTTTGAATAATTAGCTAAGTTGGAAATTATTTTTGTTAATTTTTAGTGTAAGCCTTTATTTCCAGGGCATGATTTAGAGCTCCAATTTTAATATCATAATACCTTATTATCATACAATTCATTACACAAATGATGTCCAGGTGAAATAGAACTCTATAGAATTAAAGCCTAGTTAAACACATGTATGTCAGTGATAGCATTGTATAGCCAACAGAGAGATGGTTTCAGAGTCAGGAAGACCTGGGGTTAGAGTCTGGCCTCCTGGCTTTGTGACTATGGTTGTTTTTTGTTGTTGTTTAGTTGTTTTCAGTAATGCCCAACTCTTTGTGACCCCATTTGGGGTTTTCTTGGCAAAGATACTGAAGTAGTTTGCCATTTCCTTCTCCAGCTCATTTTATAGATGAGGAAACTGAGGCAAACAGGGTAAAGTGACTTACCCAGGATCACACAGCTAATATGTGTCTGAGGTATTCCTGATTCAGGTCTTCCTGACCCCAGGCTTGGAGCTCTATCCAGTGTACCACCTAGCTGCCCTTGTGACCATGGGAATATCACTTAATCCAACCAACAAAGATTAAAAATTGCAGATCAGACCTTGATCTGGTTTGGTAGCTGAAGTTTCCTATGGTGGAATAAAATCGCAGATGCTTACCACAAAAATAACTATTAGCCCAAGGGTTTTTTGTTTGTTTGTTTTTTAGATTGGTTTTGTTTGTATATTTACTTTGGGACAAAATGTATTATATATTTATTTCAAAGGACTTTGGGGAAAGAAAGCAAGGTGTAGTGGATAGAAATCCAAACTGAACATCCATGCTCTCTAATTCTTTTAGAGTTATTGAAATTTTGAGAGACAGTATGTTTTAGCAAAAAGACACTGAACTAACTCTTGGTAGCTGCGTGACTCATAGTACCTCTCTTAACTTCCTTGTTTCAACTTCTTCGTCTATGAAATGGGCAAAATAATACCTGCTGTACCTATCTCAAAGATGCTTGTAGACTTCTAGAAAGCTAATGGATGCAAGAACTTTGTGAAACCTTAAAGTGCTGTATAAATGTCAGTTACTAATGCTATAAATCCCTTCTTTCTTCTATTCAGAAATAAAAAAAAAAGGGAAGGGTCAAACACTCAGCAAATATGTTCAACAGAAATTTATTGATATTCTAATATTAAGGATTATTTGTTTTCAGTGGTAGTACTAGGTGTACAGGACAAAAAGGAAGGGGTAGAAGGGGCAGGTGAATAGTTTGTGTGTGTATAGAGAAACAAACCATAGCAAAGAAGCTTGAAAATTTTTATTTAAGTCTGCTGTTTGTTATTTTTGAAAGCTGAGCATTTTTATGACAAAGGTTTCAAGTGGAAAGTTCTGTTTTCATATTCCCTGTTGTGGTTACCAGTTCCTTTCTTCCTCTCTGATTACTAATGCAGACATTTTGTGATTGAAATCACTTATATGTACAAGCTGATTTTATAGAAAAAAAATATTTCTATAGCTAAATGTAAACAGGTTGGAATTTTTTTTTGCCCGAAATAAGTGGAAAATATGAGGATCTGGCACTTTTGTATTTGAAGCTGTTATTTAAAGAGTCCTTTGACAATAGTTTATTCCAAAAACAATCCTTTGGCTACACAACACTGGAATGAAATTCATTTCTTGGCATGCAAAGCAATAAGGCTTTAGGATATATTCTGTTAATTTACAGAACAGAAATTTTAAAACATCCCAAGAGGCCAGCAGGTGATGTGGTGGAGATGATCTTGAGTAATTATGCACTTTATTTCCTAGAGAAACAAAAAAACAGTGATTAAAGATTGCTATAATACCCAGAGAATTTAAACATCCAATTTTGAAACACCTTTTCATGACTTTAGTGGATGTCACTTTTAGAAAACTCTTAATCTTGCAAAGCCCTCATACTTGTAGAGGCTGAAAGTACTTGCTTCCACAAACCTTACATTAAAAATTTCCCGTGAATACTTAGAAGAAAATAATCAAATTTTCATCTAATTCACAAGCCTCTTTCAAATAATATTTAAAAATTTTTGAAATTACGACCATTACTTAGTTATTTGCTATAGTTTAGATCTCAAGCATGTCCTAACATCAGAAATGCCTTGGAGTCAGGATGACCTGGGTTCAAATCCTGCCTCTTCTACATACTAGATATATGACCAGGAGCATATCATTTCACTTCATTGGCCCAAGCCATTCCTTGTGACTTCAAGTTTGTGGTAGAAAGGAATGATAGCTTGATTTAGCATCAGAGATATGGGGTTCAAATCTTGCTTTTGCCATTTGCTACCAGTGTTACATTGGGAAAAAGTCCCTTGCTCTCTTCGAGCTTCAGTTTCCTTGCCTGTAAAATGAGGTGGTTTGTCTAGATGACATTTCCCACCCCATCCTCTTTTTAGCTATAAGTCTATGATTTGATGAAATGATAATAGATTCCAGTCTGCATTATGGATTGCATTTCTACACTGGGAGTTTTCCGCTTAGACAAATCATAGATTCAGATCAAATATATCTCTCTTTTGCAATCTAGATAACACAGATAAATAACCTAAATAGACTTTTTTCCCTTTAGTGGATGGAGTACTGGATCTGGAGTTAGGAAAGCCTGCCTCTGGAACCAGAACTTACCTCGTAGCGTAGTACGAGGACAAGCCATTTAATTTTTCTGAGTTAACTTCTTTTATCAGTAATATGGCAATTAGGATTCTGTGAAACCTACACCTTACATTGTTGAGATATACACACTTTTTTTTGTCTGCTAGACCTGTGATTGCATTGGTAGAGGGCACTCCTAATGAAGAAATTTCTTCTATCAATGCAGGTGGTTAACTGCTCTGCAACTTAACGCCTTTGTGAAATGGAGAACTGCATGCAGAGTGGTATACAAACTTTGGAGTTCCATAATACATGTATTTAGTATATAATAATATATAATAATTTGTCTAGATAAATAGGTAGGTAGATGGATAGATAAATAGATATACAGGACATCCTAAAAATTATAGTGCAGTGCTATGCTAACTGCACTAAGACTTTTGGGACACTCTGCATTTGAGCTGTTAGCTCTGGCATCTAAAACAATGTCTTGAATACAGTTAGTGCTTAATAAGATGTTGATGGAATTCAATTGAATAAATTTCAAATAGTACACAATATGGAATAACAAAAAGTTGAATAATTATTTTTTAAATGTTAAGATCTTTGGATTTTGTAGACTAAGCCTACAGAGTACAAATTAAAAATATTTATTGATTATATAAAGTTTAAAAAGTTGAAGTTAAAAAGCCCCAAACTACCTTTTCCCAATGTAGAACAAAAACAGAAGCTATATGATGATTGACTGTTTATGATGAAACTTGTTTTTCAGAATTGAGTGAAATGTAATCACCTGTCAGTAACTTTGGTCTGAAGCAGCCAATTGATGAAATCCCTGGTAGCAAGGTTATCCAGAACTGTATTCATCTCATCAGAGAAAGAACCATCAGCATGTCTTCTGCCAAGCTCTTCAACTATAGTGACTTCTTCTGGAAAACTTTAAAGAGAGAACAAAGGGGAAAAGAAAATATTTTGTACTTATTGTTTTATTTGATTTTTCAACACATGCTTCATCTCTTTATATCTCTGGAAATAGGTATAGAAATCTGTAAAATCTTCACCAAGTGATAGCACAGAAATCGCTCCTAAGTCTGCCAGGAGAACCGTATACCAGAGGTGCCAAGCATGTGGCCCATGTGGTGCCTGTTGCCCACAACACTCTCAAGTGAGGCCAGGATGAAAATGTCATTGGCAAATATTTAACAAAATGAATAAAAATACAATAAAACATAGATAATTTATATTTTAAAACTAAGTCAATATGTGGTCGACAGGGATTCTTATGTACAGGTTAGTGGCCACAGTTTCTATTTGAGTTTGACACCACTGGTGGATCCAACTGACTCAAGTACCTCTTTATAACTTTTTTTCTCCTTAAACATCAGTTCTAAGAATCAGATGTCATAACTTCGCTTGAAAACAGTGACACTCTCTAGGCCCATCTGGAATTGAGCAAAACCAAGTTGGTCTTTGGAAAGAGGAGGCATGCCTTTGATAGCACTTCTTCCATTGGGAATTTCTCCAAGTATCAGAGATAGCATAAAGGGTGCAGATTAAAGAATATAAATAGAGAGATGTATAACTAGAAAAGAAGTTGGGCAGTACACGTAGTGGGAGAAAAAGGGATAAGGATGGCCTGTTCTTGTATTCCATCAGTATCCACCTAATGTCAAAAGGTCTAACATATCAAGTGGAGGGTCACGGGATGAGATGACAGGGGTGAGTTACAATCTGCACCTTTACAGGGAGTGATCACATAGGTGAGATCAACTTTGTAAGAGATTGTTTTTTATGCTTTGTATTCACCATTTTGCTCTTGTTCAGTAAATGTTTGTTGATTTTGTTGATTTGAGCTATCATTAAATTATCTTACGGTATTTTCTCCATTGCCAGATCAGAAACTGCTTACCTCAGGGCTCCCACTTTTCTTTTCCAATGATGATAGATGTGCTGGTAATGTGAATGCTCAAAATAAAGGACTATTTTCCTATCACTTTCTATTCCTTTTCACTTGCCTTTTCTTGACTGTGAAAATTCCTATTACCAAGCATTTCTGCTTTATTGTGAAATGGACTTGTGGAAGTTACATTTCAAAAAAGAGAATAGAAAAAATATTGGGGCTCTTTTTAAAATTTCTCTTAACTTGCTCAGTCTATAAATTCCCTTTCTTTTAAGAAAAACTCTATTAAATAAGAAAAATAGATATTACAAATATAATAAATTCTAGGTTTGATATTTATACTAGAAACCAAAAAAAGCATTAGATACAAAAATATGGACTCACGCTCTCCTTCCTCGGCCTTTCACCAACCAAGCAATGAATTCCTTGGCAGCTTGACCTTCCAAATAAGAGCTGACATCACTGGTAAAGGTCCCCTCAGCATGTCTCTCAAATTCATCATGGCGTTTGGCAACTTTGTTCCTGAGAAAAACAGTATCATGTTTAAATCATGGTTTGTGGCATACATATTCTCCTAGTGACCTACTTAGGAAGATAGTGCAAATATTATCATTCTGTTTTATGGATGAGAAAAACTAGTCTCAGGTTAGGTGAAATTAACTGTTCAAAGTTAGACAATCGGTAAATAGTCAAGCAAAGATTCTTCTGACCCCAAGTCCAGGGTCCTATATATTATATCAGGCTGCCTCTCAGTTGTTTTTATATTGTTGTTTCAGCTGCTGCTTTTGGATCAAACCTGTGATTTCATTAGTGTAGGGAAGGTGGTAAGAAACTCTCCTGACCAATGCAGATTGGCACCTTCTCTGTACCTTAGAATCTTACAGAGTTGCCTGGGGCACTGAGAGATTGGCTCAGGATCCCATAGTCAATAGATGTCAGAGGCAGGATCTAAACTCAGGTATTCTTGACTAGCAAGTCACTTCTCTCTCCCCTACCTCATGTTGTCTGTGTAAAGATTAAAATAAGGTGAGCAATTTGCTTCCCAGGAAGTGAGGTTCTTATCTAACTGGACTAATTGGTAACCAATGTTGCTATGTTTTGTTCTCATTCAGCCAAGGCTCTCAGCTGTGTTTATGACATCATCAACCAAAGTACTTTGAGTTAGTAACAAATATTAAGCTCTTTAAGTGTGATTTTTATTGCTTTCCTAATAGTTGCTAATGTTCCAGAAGCATTCTAAGCTTCGGTGTTTGTATACCCCTGGTAACATCTAGGATGAGGTTTCTCATCTTCCTTATGCCTTTGCCAGGCTGGGCACCATATTTTTGATCTCTCAAAAATGATCCTTAAGAGAGCAAATGTTTTGTAGAGAAGCATTTTATAGCTTACTTTTCACTTGCTACTGTCAAAGTCTACCATTTAGGGTAATAGTTAGCATTTATATATAATCTAGCATTCATATAGCACTTTCAGGTTTGCAAAGCATTTTACACATGTTAACCTATTTGATCCCTAGAACAACCTTATGAAGTAGGTGCTGTTGTTATCTCCATTTTACATATGAGGAAACTGAGGCACAAAGCAATTAAATGACTTGTCCAAGGTCACACAGCTAGTGAGTGCCTGAGGCCAGATTTGAACTGAGGAAGATGAGTCTTCCTGACAAGTTCTAGCACTCTATCCACTGTGCCACCTAGTAGAGTAGGATGATGGCATCTAGGTTTCAAGCTATGACCTAAGATCATAGTATTATAGTTTTTGGATTAATTTGCTTGCCCTGTTTCACACAGACTTACCTGTCTGAGGTAGGATTTGAACCCAGGTCTTCTTGACCACAAGTCTACCTCCATATGCACCATGCTATAACAGCCTTATTAATCTTTTTTTTTTTGCTAAAATACCCAATTGAATTACAAGTGTATACACCTAAGTTAAATTTTGTATCTTACATAAATATTCTGTTAATATTAATATCTGTCATTTGCAAGCGTTGTAGAGCTTTTACCTGTATGATCTCATCCTCCCAGCCCTGTGAGATAATTACTTGCTGTATTTTACAGAAAGGAAACTGAGGCTGGGAGTATTTACAGGCTATGACTTCCTCACTTTCACACAGATAGCAAGAGTCCAAAATAGGATCAAAACTTGGGTCCTCATGACTCCCTGTCTAGTTCTTTATCTACCATCCCACGCTGACAATATTAGTACAAGAACTTCTCTAGAACTTTAAAGTTATACAGTGCCTTGTCTCCACAATGCTGGAAAGCCAAATGATGACTGATACGTTTAGTTAAGCATTTAGATATTCCCAAATATCTGGGTTTGAGGTATTATGTTAATAAGACATTTGGATGTTCTTCCACACGTTTGATATCACAGATGCAGCCTGAATGCAGAATAAAGGGATGGCAGAAAGACACAAAGCTAAGGCTTTCCAGGCCTTGAAATTGTAACCACTGCTTTGTAGAAATCTGCTATATGAGTTTTCTCCAAAAGGATATTCAAAAAAGATCTCCAAGTCCTTCTGGTTGCACAAACAAAACAAAACAAAAAAACAGAAACCCCAAACTGCACCCCCCAGCATTACTGATATTTTCTGTGACTTATGAATAATTTGAATCATGATACTGCAGTTTACTGGTTAATCTCAAATATATGACAGACATGTCGTCCCCCTCATCCGTGCACCCTAAGCAGAAGCATTTCTGATGACACGACAGCTTAAAGCCCCAAAACCAAAACATTCAAGTTCATTGTAAACCTGTCAGAGATCGTGTCCAAGCAACAGAAAGGAAAATGAAGGGAGTCAGTTTTCAAATATATTTCCAAATAGCTGAATGCTTGACATGCCATGCCACACCATGGATGCAACATCCAGCTGACAGAGACTTTTACTTTTCACCCTGAGCTTTGCTGATAACACAGATGTAGCCAAAAGATGGTCTTTCTTCTAGTTTCTATGGCTCAACAGGGACATCAAGTGGTCCAAGTTAGCACTGGACCTTTATGAATGCTCTCTGTGGATTTGTCAGCTGTTGTTTCTGAGGACATTCCTCTAAGAGGCCAGAATGACACAGGTTTTGATTACCTTTCAAGGTTTTGATAACTTACTGATATCATCCTTTCTAATGGCCAATGTATATATGGAATGCCTTGGATTTGATGGTGCTTGAATGCAACCTCTCCTTTTCACTTTAATCCTCCTGTTTTAATATCTTACACATATCCTAGATGGAAAGTGTCACAAGTAGTTAAAATGCCCTTCCTGCGTCTTTTCTTCCCTGGGCTAAAAATTCCCAGTTTCTTCAACAAGTGCTTAAATGATCTGGACTCAAGGCCCTTCAGCATTTTGGTAGACCTCCTGTGGATCCTCTCCAGCTTATTAATGTCCTTCTAAATTTTGGTGCCCAAAACTAAATATATTTCAGATATGGTCTGATCAAGATAGAATATAGTGGGGTTCTCTCTTATTACTTGAAGCTATGTCTCTCTCATTCAACCCATGACTACATTTATGTTTTTTAAGGTTTTCATATCAATCTTCTGGTTCATAGTGAGCCAGAGGTCCATTAACACCTTAAGATTGTTTTCAGCAAACTCTAGTCTAACTATGCCTCCCCAATTCTGTACTTGTGAAGCTGATTTTTTTGAAGCTGGGTATAAAAATACATTTACTTTTGTTGAGTTTCATCTTGTTAGATTCAACATAATGTTCTAGGTCAGAGATTCTTAGCCTTTTCTATGTCATGGACCCCTTTGGAAGTCTGAAGCCTAGGAACTCTTGTCTCAGAATAATGTTTTTAGATGAATAAAATAAAATACATAGGATTACAAAGGAACCTAATTATATTGAAATACAGTTATCTAAATATTTTTAAGAACACCAAACACATTCACGGAACCCCTGCTCAGCCTGTCAAGATCGTTTTGGTTACTGATTCTGCCCTCCAGTATTAACTATCTAGAAATTTGATAGGTATGCCATACATGCCTTTATTTAAGTAGTTGATAAAAATGTTAAACAAAGGAGATGAATGAAGGTGATTATATGGTTGGAATATAGGGCCTCTGAGAAAAGTTGAAAGGAATCATAGCCTATTACTTTTGTTAAGGGGAGAATGGAAATAATGCTATCTTCAAGCAACTGAAACAAGGCGGTCAAATGTACTGAAACAAGGCAGTCAAATGTTCTGGGTCTTTACTGGGGAAACGGCTTTATTCTGCAACAAGTGAGATTAGGTGTAAGAAAGACACTCTCTCAGAGCAAAGATTGTTAAATAATGAGATTAAGGTAGTTAGTAATTTGAGGGGATAGTTCCAACGTCCTGTCTAGTTACATCATGATCTCTGTTTTTCCTTTCCACTGTATAGAGGATGGGGGTTAAGATGGGGGGTTTGGACACATCCCACCTCTGGTTTTCATCACACTACCTGAAATGATCTCCCCATTTTTTTTAAACTTGCCATGTGCTTATGTCTTGCCTTCCCAATTAGACTGCAAGGGCTTCAAAGGCCGATATTATACATTATTTTCACCATTGCTATTCCAGGTTTATATAGCACTTTAAAATTTACAAAGGGCATTCCTCACAACTACTTTGCATAAACTGTTGTGCCAACCATAGTGTTTTATACATAGTAGGAGCTCAGTAAATGTTTGTTGATTGACTAATAATTGTTCTTAGTTATAAAATTCTATGACCCTCCATGCTTCACTGAGTGGAATTTTAGTTCCTTAACAAGGTCATCAGAATCATATCTGAACTTAGATATTTCTAATACGTAACTCCCCCTTCCTGTTTTGCTTTCCAAATGCCCTTCTCCTTGAAGATTTTGTACAATTCCAGTATCCATTCAACTTTGGCTGATGATTTTCCTTTATTCTCCTGCCTGCATTTCCAACAAGCAATTAACACATATCACAATACTGAGTACTAAACATTGAAATTTATGCTTTACTATCAACTTGTATTTTTGCTCAGTTTTGTGTAATGTTGTGCAGCTGGCATGCCATTTCAAATGCATAGCTATGATCTGTGTGGTCTACTTCAGAAAGCAAGACCCTGCAGGAAAAGATCAACATCTTAATAGGCACTTAAGAAATGTTTATTCTGTTCCATTCAATTGAACTGAATCTGTTAATGGCACTTGAAAAAATTCACTTGGGTAGGGTGTTATTAAGGAAGCTCACCCAAGTTATATGGATTTGTTCTCTGTTTGCCTAAATTGGCTTTTATGTTTGTACCTTGGACGGGCCAGTTTCTGAATATCTGTGGGCAGTGGACAAGAAAGTAAAAATCAGTGAAAAATCCATCACCCCTAGAAGGAAAAACAATTTAAGAGAGGGTCCTTATTGGGAGACCTCAGGAGTGGAATACAAAGACAGCACATTACTAGAAAGTGGCATCTTAGCACAATGCTGGCGTGGGGCCATGAGCATGTGGGCACTTAATACAGTTTGATGACCTAATGAAGGATAGGTTTCAAAATGCTTGTATTTGTATGAGAGTCAGAGGAAGGGGGAGTTCTTTGCCCACACATTTCAAACATTCTGTTTAAAATTCTTACCCATTCCGTTTGGTGTTCATCAACCACTGCACAAAATCTTGAGCTCGTCTGGAGTCCAGATACTTGCTATAGTCACTGGTGAATGTGCCCTGTGAATGACGCTTGTCTTCATTCATCAGATTGTCATCTAATGGTTCTGTCTGGGAATCTGTGTATGGTCTATAAAACAAAGTTTTCAGTGTTACATAAATTTGAACTAGGGATTCTATACGCTCTAGGAACTTTTTTCTTATCTCCTCTCTAATCTTCTCCGCCCTCCTCCCCCCAGCCCCAATGACTATATGATCCTATGATCACAGATTTAGAAGTGGAAAGATCCTTCTTAGGGGTTAGTGAGTAAAAACCATTGACACCGAGACTCAGAGAAAGTTGATTCTATCTACTCAGTTATATAACTTTTTGAAAGGCTGTGGTCCCCAGAGCCTCTGATTTTCTCTGACTTCAGATTCTGGACTATAAACTCTGGATTAATTTAGTGAATGAATTTCATTTGGAATCATATCCCTTCAAAAAGTTACATAACTGAGTAGATAGAATCAAGTTGCCCTACTCAGAGGCCAAAATGGGGTAGAGTCCAAAGGCTGCTACAGCTGGAGCCAGCTAGATTTGAATCATGCCTCTACCTTTCACTAGTCACGTGGCACCATCTCAATTATTGTTCTGGGTGTGTTATTAAACCTCTCTGAGACTCAGCTTTCTGATCTCCTGCTTCTGATACCCCAGGTGTCTTGGCTTTTTCTCCTGTGAGAAGAATAAAATTTTTTTCAACTAGTCAACCAATTCATGACCATCTATCCTAATAACACAAAGTAGCTGAAAGTCCAATATATATTTAAAATAGCAGGCTGTTACCTTTCCAACTAATTCTGTTTGCTTCTGCTGATATTGAAAAATAACTTCATTACCTGAGGACACACTAACAGTGAAGGGTGTCACTTAGAATGTTGAGTGACAGCATCAAGATAGCCTGATATTTTAAACTAGCTAAGTGGATGGTGAAATGAGCACTAGACACTACATAAGGATAGCGCCTGTAATTTTATTGGTAAAGGGCACTTCTTGGTAAGGAAGTTCCCTCTAGCAAGACAGGTCCACAAGTCACTGAAATTTAATCTTTTTTTTTTTGAGAGTCACTTAGAGTAGAGAGAGGTTAAGAGACTTGTCCAGGGTCACATAATTCAGAGGTGAACCCATCTTCCTTGCTTCAAGGCCAACACCATGTCCACCACATGTTGCCTTTCTAGCAATCAGAGCTGTTTAAAAGTGGAATGGGCTACCTAATCAGATGGTAGACCCCCTCACCCTGGAGGTCCTAATGTGAAAATCTAGATGGCCACTTCTCATGTATGTTATTACAGGAATTCCTTGGGGTCTATCTCCAGTCAACCTGATCTATATCTTGCCACTCTACCCAGATGGCTCTGGGGGAGAAAGTGAGGCTGGTGACCTAGCATAGCCCTCCCTCACTTCAATTTAATTCACTTGCAAGTCATGACATCATCTTCCTGATGTCATGGTCCTCTTCAAGGATGAAAGACAAACAACAGGTATGACTAGGTGTCTGCCAAGGTTCTTTCTAACTCTCAAATTCTACTAGTAATAGCACTGGATTTAGAATCAATCTGAAGACCTGGGTTAGAGTTTTGCCCACATTAACTTATTAACTCTATGGCCTTATTAACTCCATGAACTTTCTAGGTCTTAGACTTCTTGTACTGAGATAACATACAAAAAATATTTCATAATAATGTAGTGCTGTGTAAGTGTGAGCTATTGTTATTAGATATACCATCTCCCAAATGAGAATTTTCACTGGCTATCCCTCATGCTTCAAATTTTCTCCCTTCTCATCTCTACTTCCCGCCTTTCCTGGTTTAAGTTTTGGCTAAAGATTCACCCTCAAGAATGCTTTCCCAATCCCCCTTAATGTTAGTGCCTTCCCTCTGTTGATTAATTTTCTCCAATTTAACGTACAGGACATATACATGTAAATAGATACATGGTACAGTGAGGTGGCAATAGTTAGAGAGAGCACTGCTCTAGGAGTCAGGAAGACTTGAGTTCAAAACCAACCTCAGACACTTAGTAGCTGTGTGACCCTGAGCAAGTCACTTAAAACTGTCTGCCTCAGTCTGCTCATCTGTAAAATGAATTGGATAAGGAAATGACAAAGCAGCTCAGTATCTTTGCCAAGGGAACCCCAAATAAGTCACAAAGAGTTGTACATACCTGAAATGACTCAACAACAACACAAAAAAGATAGGTAGATGGTAGATAGATAGATAGACGGATAGATAGCTTGTTTGTGCAGTTATTTGCATGTTATCTCCTCCATTGGACTGTGAGCTCCTTGAGAGCAAAGACTATTTTTGTCTTTCTTTGTATCCTCAATGCTTAGTACGTGTCTGACACATAGTAGGCACTTACATACTTGTTGACTGACTGACTGAAATTCTACATGCTGATGATACTGAGTAGGTTGCCTATGGTTAAATTAAGCTACTCTATGATTACTTCATGGAATAATAGCCTATAGAATGCAAATGTGTCATCTAGTGTATTCTACCTCTTCTATACCCTTCTGATTATGAGTCAGCACATACTCTGATCTTTTTTTCAAAAATACAAACACAGCCTTTATCATATAGCAACAATGATTAGGGTATTAACAATGATCCCCTGAAAGCCAATTCCTTAATTGTGGGCTACACAAGTATCATGTATCTTTGACATACACCTATGAGATACATACAGCTATGTATCAGGAACATATATAGTTATATGTATAGCATGGTGTTCTACTAGTTGAGTGTCTGGAATTTTAGTACCTGGGTTTTTCTTCTGTGTCCTGAAGGGAGTGTTGCCAACTGCTTTGTACCAGCATTATGAACAATCCAGCCAGGAAGTAAATATTTTTCATTTTCACTGCCTGTCAGAAGAGAATAGGGAAAGAAAAAGGCAACCATCTTGAATATATTGGGGCTAAATTTGTTTGGTTACTTCTAACTGAATGTTCTTACTAGGAAAAAAAAAACAGCCAACTGTGGCCGTAGGATGCAATTGTTTTTCGATATACCTAGTTTGATTTACCTGTAGTCCTAATAAGAGACTGTAAGCCGTTTTATAGGGTGTCATTGTTGTTTTGAAAGCAAATAAGAGTACAAAAGATATGCTCCATCCTTTGGCTCTTTAGTTACAGTAGGATGCTTGCGTTACTGATTAATAATGTCATTTTCAGACTTGAAATTGAAACATCAAAGTAAAAAATTTTAAATATCTAATGTAACTGATACTCTACATATGGTTAGCCTGAATGGCACCCTATCCATAATGCTCCCCTTAACGATCACTCAGGCTTTCAATTAATAGGCCTTCATTTCCAAGGATTTACATTATACTGCATTTCAACCATCTTAAGCAGCCTCAGGCTAAAACTTGGCATACCAGCTGTCAGTTCAGATGTATTATTCATTTATATTTTAAATAGTGTAACTTGGTCTAGACTTTGTAATTGTAAAGCGGCCAACAGATTTGAGGTATTTTAGGGTTGTTTGACCTGTTCTAAATAAAAAAAAAATATATCATTTTAAAGACAAGAGTAATTTGCACGAAGACCTAATGCTTCTGGCAACTTGAACAATCTTCAACTAAGGAACTAAGATATCTGTGTCAAAAAGAAAATTAGTGCCTGTTACAGAAATCTTTAAAGTCATCAAGCTATTATTCTTGCAGTACTGAGTTCAAACCGTATTATTAACTGATGGACATAGCCCAGGCTTTTATGACCCAGGACATGGTTTGCCAGTGTCCCAAGCAGATGCCTCCTTGAACTGAGTGCAAACCTCATGACAATGGCGGTACAATGTGGATAGAGCCCAGCAATGGAGGATGTTTGGTATAGCATAATAGAATGGGCTTGCCTATTTCCACGCAGGAATACTAACACTCAATACTTGTTGTGTACAGAAACTATTCATGTTCTGTTACTCTTGAAAGTCAATCATGGTGTTCTTGCTGTTTTTGACAAAAGGTAATCACATCAGCTGGGCAGATTTAAATTTAAGTCTGATGATGTATATCTGTTAATAATTTGAACGAGCATTTTTAGTAACAGACATTTGGTTTGAAATAAGGATTTGAAAACCATCAATCCTGTGGTTTTAAAACATCTTAACCCATATAAATTATGTTCTCTATGCATTCAAATATGGAGAAATTGAAGTGCTTGCAAAAGATTCTACTTCCTTTGCAAAGCCCAGCATGCTCCAGAGAAAGATTTGATAGATGATCTGCACAGAAGACATGGGTATTGACACTCTTAGCCAGTGGTATGTTGGTGAGAAAGGCAATTGTTAAATTTTTAATGTGAGAATTTACACCTGGGAAATCAGCAAACTATAGCAGTCAGGGCTTGATTTATTGTTTTGTTGATTTTTAGTCTTAAGAAAATGATGGAAAAAAAGTCTCTAATGGGGATTAAACTTAAAAGTGTGTCCTGGGTATAGTTTCCTGCCTTCACTCCAGTTGGGTTGTCAAAGTTATCAGCATATGCATGCTCTTAGCCACAAATCAACATTGTCCTAACAACTTGGAATTTAGTTTTTCTATCCTTTATTCATCTGGAAGACTTGCTGAAAGTTGTAGTACAAGGAAAGTTGTCACATGATATTAACTAAAGTTTACAGTTATCATGCTTGTAGTGACTTGAACTAAATGAGGCAATAGTGCTTATGACTATACAATAATTTGGTACATGTCTTGAGAAAGATCGATACTACTTGAGTTTGGGATAATGTTTTTAATCCAAGACCTCAAAGTGATTTCATAGCATTCTCTAAATCTATCAACACTCCTGTAAGGAAGACAGAGAAAGAGTAGTTGTATCTTTATCTGAAAATGACAGAAACCCCCCCCCAAAAAAAAAACCAGAAGAGTTATTTTGGGTTCCAAAAGTACTTTGAACATAGAATATCTGATTTCTACCAAAAGTAGAAATCTGTTACTGAAAAGATCTATTTTTAAAAGGGTAGATTTTTAAATAAAAACTACTATGGAATTACAGATTCTTTAAGAACTTTGAATGTTGTTCTCTCACTAATAAAGAGAGAATGGATACCTGTTTTGTATTATTATCAAAATCCTCTTCAACAGGGAAAAAATAAAAAGCACTTTTCCCTCCTTTTCATAGGCAGACCAGATAGGGATATAATTAGTTAGTTTGGTGAGAACCAAGAACCTCACTTAGAAGATATTATGGTTAAGATTCTATTCTCTCCTATAATAAAACAATTAGAAAATTTGACCTTTGATCCAATTTATGAAGATAGCTTATTGGTTCAGATTCTAAACTTTATTTTGTGTGCCAGTTGCATACCAGCTAACTAGTTCTTACAAATTAGTGAAACTAATCTACTGAATGCCATTGGGCAATTGTTGCTTAAGGTCTTTGTACTTGGGATTTCAAACATGTATTTTAGAAAACATGCCTCCTCCCTTTTCTCAATTTTAGTTAGCATATATTTTTAGAATATAAAAGCTTTCGGATTATTCATTTTGTGGGTGCTCAATAAATGTTTAATTCTTATTAACAAATTTTCTTCGTAGTTAACAAAGGGAGCCCCAAAATAGATGATATCTACTTGGGATGATAAGCATGAGAAATATTTTCACAGAAAATACCAAAGATTTCATTTCCAGAAATTTGATTGTTTGACAGACTTTGAAAAAAAAACAACTAAACTCTTTTAAAAATGGTGATGAATCTGCTCTTTCTGAAGATCAGTGTTTCAATTATAAGTAATAAAAACAATGAAATAAAATAACCTATTTAATATACACAATTCGATTGCACTTTAATATATATTTTTAGTTCTTTAGAGTAGATGTAAATGAATGTCTTGAATCTTTTTTTGAAAGGAAAACTGTTTTTAACCCAGTTTAAAATGTATTTTTTGTAACAGTCTAATGCTTTCTATACAATATTGCTCTTAACATTTCTTGTTTCTTTTTCTATTTTATATAAAGGATTTAAATTCTTTTAAATGATCTTACTTTCATTCATTCTATCAAAGTAGATTTAAATTTCTTACCCTTTTCCGATCTCACAGGCTGAACTATATATAATTAATAATAATAATAAAAAGATAAAAAACCACTAAGTCAACACTTAGTCTTTATGTGCCTTATGCATATTTAATTGTACAAGAAGAAACGAAGTCAGTTCATAGTCATCTAGTAGGAATCTTACCTTCTGACCACGCAGTCAAATACAGCAGGTGGGGTAAGAGTGAAGAGTCTTTCTTCTGGACCTTAGAAAGTGTCCTGAGCTCTGGATTTCTGTATCTCTCACCCAGCTTTTATAGACTGTTCAGCTCTGCTTAGTGTCAAAGATATTACGCTGACAATATAAATTTCTCATCTGTAAATAATGGGGTTTTGTTACAAGCGATTTCACTCACCCACTCATTTTGCTCATCTATATTCTATGCGTATATTGGGTGGGATCGTAGAGATCTGGAAACTTTTTCTTTTTCTCAATCTACTCACTATTTTTTTTTCCTGGAAATGCGAAAGATAATTTGGAAACATGCTCCCCACTTTCAGTGTAGGGGGAAGAAATGGATACAGTAAAATGCTCTGAGATGATAGGTGACACTGAAGACACAAAAATTTGAAATCCCAATTCTATGCCTAAAATGAGATTGAGTAAATGCTTGCTTCTGGGTATCAAAATCCCCTCTTTTAGCAACACTATTTAACAATGTTGAATTTCTCATTAGGAAATGTAAAAATACAAACAAGTTATACTACTGTGCTGTATGTATTATGTATACTACATCAATTTGAATTACTGTGCAGTAGTAGCAAGTTATTTTGAATAAGACCATATAGCTTCTGTGTTATAAGAGTGATCACAGAGGTTACAAGAAGATAACATAGGATAGTGACAATAGCAAAAATAGGGAGCTATGCTGTCTTCCCTTTTTAAATTTTATTTAGCCTTTTCCTGAAGGTCAGTGGTGGCATGAAAACCAAGCTAGATAGGACATTGGATTGGAGGTTAGATAATTAAACTGATATAAATTGGTGGGAGAGTATTTACATAAGATGGATACATCCAGATTTATTGATACTATGTGGTTTGAAGTATCAGAAGGCATTGGCTAAAATAATTTAAGAATTGCTTTCTATAACTTTTAAGGAAACATGTTTTTTGAGAAACCTGGGAAATATGGATTAGTATCTATCCATCTTTGGAACAAACATCATAAAATGGCTTAATTGGATGTTAATGAATTAGGGAAACTATATTCCCTACCTGATGGATTCTGTAGAAATAAGTCCTTGAGATAGGGTTATTTTCCTTCCAATTCAACCTGAATCTGTTCAATTTGGTGGCTTAGGTTTAATGTGAGTAGGTACAGATTGAATCAATTCAATTCAACTCATTGAACATTTATTCAAGAGTAGTTCACAATTTCAATTTCGGAGGACTAGTTCAAGTCCTTCTGGAAGGACTTAGCAAGTATTATCGTGTGAAAATTGATTTTGGACCTGAGATGATATCCAGCCCTCAGGGTTGATTTCTAGCTCTTGGATGAATTTTTTCTCTCTGGTGTTGCTAACATTTCGACCCTTTTGGTGCTTCTTAGCACCTCCACCAGAGGGTGTGAAGGGGCAGAGAAAGGAGGTCTAACTGTTCATGTCAACTTCTGGTATTCAATGATAATTCTTACTAGTACTTTAATGGATAAAGTCAGTGTTTTGTACTAACTATGGCATTAAATTCTCCCTTCTCTCTGTCACTGATCCCTTTTATTATGAATATAGTGTTCATTTCCCTCCCATTAATTTTTCAATAGATAATATGGGGATCATATTCATTACATATTTCCCACCCTCTCCACCCCGCAAGTTGGGGGTGGGTTTTCTGAGAAGAAAAGTTTCCTTCTGCCTTTCTCCATATGTGCTTCCACTTAACTCCTATAGTCTCCTAAGCTCCTCACTCGCTCCAGTCATTAGCAACCTTTGGAGCTGCCAAGAGAGGGGTTTGATTACAGTGCTTCAAAAGCAATGTGACCAAACTCCCGTTGGCAAGTGTGCTAAAGCTACAGTGACCATATTTTCTGAACCAAGAATCAGGACACATGATTTCACAAAGAATATTCCTTCGGCAAAGCTTCATTAAAAGTTCACTTTCTTTTCTTGAAATGGGGGCTGTCCCAGAAAACCCAGGACATATGGTCATGGTAAACTATATTTCTCAGTCCAACCCTAACACTCCACTTAAAATGCATGCTCAGTCCTGTCCTAGTAGAGTCAACAGATAACCTAAGTTCCTGAAGCTAGCTCACTAGAACCATGGGAGCAATTAGAAACCCACTCAGACAAAATGGTCAAGACAGGAAGATAATGAGCTGCCCCTATATAAAAATAATAATTGATACAGAGAATAACAATTTCAAAAACATTATACCTACATTCACTTTTGTGCTTCAACATCAATAACTCTGTTACGTAGACAGTACAAATATTATTGTTCCCACTTTACAGATAGGGAAGCTAAAACTCAGAGGAATGAAGTAACTTGACTAAGGTTACTCAGTGACTATGGTTACTGGGCTTTGGACTCCAAATTCAATACTGTTGCTACAGGACATTTAAAACCTTGAACAACATCAGTCTATCTTTCTACACTTACCGCTCTTCCCACATTCTATGTTCTAGCCCATTTATTGTCCTCTGTATATGATGTTCTGTCTTGCATCTTCATGCCTTTGCCCAAGCTATTTCTCATTCCTGAGTTGCATTCCACTTCAATTTTGCCTTTTAGAATCTCTATTTTCCTTCAAGTTTCAATTTAAGTACACTTCTCAGAATGCCCCCCCTCCTAACTGTTACTGCACCCACCCCTTGTCACTTTGTATATATTTTATTTATTTTTATGTGAACCATTGCTTTCTTTTGGTAGAATGTAAGCTTCATAAGGGCAAGGACTAATTCATTTTTATCTTTGCATCTCTAGTGCTTAGCACAGTGTATGGTGAATAATAATGGCTTATTGAATGAATGAAATAAGAAAGTGTGTGATTTTAAGATGGCTAAATTAGCCTAAGACAAAAGATTTAAAAAAGGGGTGGTGGGGGTTGGGGTAGAGAGATTTAACAACAGTTTTTAAATGGCAAAAAAAAAAAAAAAGTCCTAGGCAAGATAAAAAACCAAGCCACTCTTCATATCTCCCTGAGGATAGAGCAAATGGAAATGATTTAATGGATAAGAAGAGGGCTCTAAAGGCAATAAAGGGATGAGCTTCCTGATAATGAATTATGGGTTAGCCAGAGAAGGTGAGAAATATCCTTCCTGGGAGATATTTAAGAGCCAATTAGACACCCATCCATCTGGAATGATTTCGAGGGAGCCTGTTAAAGGCTGGGGGAAGCATTATGTGATCAGTAGAGGTGCTGCCAGCCTCAGGGCTCTCTGACCCTGGAAAAGGGTTCAGATTTCATTTTTGGAAAGGGGATGGAACAGCGTCCCAGTTGGCAGACTTTGATTTTCCTTGGTTGTTCAATGCCACAGTATAATGAGTTGTTTGAGGCTGCTCTTCTAAGTTTCAGTTGTTATTTTTATGTAAAAGGAACAGGAGAGAGAGAAAACAAAAATCACATTTGTACAAAAGAATCTTATCTCATAATTTAGAAGTGGAATATATATATATATATGTGTGTGTATATATATATATATATATATACATATCATTGAATGCATGTGTTATGCTACTATTTTTCACATATTGTAACTATAAAAAAACAAACCATATGTCATTACATTTATCCAACCTCTCGCTCATCTGGAATGATCTTTTTTTTTTCTGGGTTTGCAAGAGTTTTCAGTTAAAACACTTCAATTTTTCTAAAGTATTTTGCGGAAGGAAACTCTGGTCATTAGAAAACACAGACTTAAAATCTCTACCTTCCTTCAAATGCAGAAAAGTCAAAACTGAACTATTTTGACAAATTCCTCTTCATAACTGCCTTGCTACAAGATAGTTTAACAGCTAGGTGACATAGTAGTTAGAGTGTCAGAGTTAGAAAGGCCAGAGTTTAAATGCTATCTCAGACTGTGTAACTCTGGGAAAATCACTTAACCATTGCTTGCCTCAGTTTCCTTTTAGGTAAAATGAGAATGATAGTAATAACACCTACCTCATGAGATTGTCATGAGGATCAAATTAAATTTTATATATATGTATATATATATATATATATATATATATATATAATTTTACAAATCTTAAAGTGTTACATAAATACACTTATTAAGATATCTATTATTATATGCCCCCTCCCCCTCCCTTTTTTTTTACTTCAGTGGCTTCCTATCACCAAAATAATGAAATAGGATAAAATGTGAAATCATTAACCTGGCATTTAAAGTCCGCTATAATTTGGCTGCCACTTTTCTGGGGTTCTTTATATTTACCTTTCATTAACTCTTCATACCAGTCAAATTGGCATACAAGATATTTTAAATACTTGACATTTAGTGTCCTACATTCAGTCAGTTGGTAAGCATTTATTAAGTACTTACTATGTGCCAGGCACTGTGATCAGCACTGGGGATACAAAGAAAGGCAAAAGTTAGTTCTTGCCTTTTGAGGAGCTCATAGATTAATGAGGGAGACAGCATACAAACAACTTAAAAACATTTATTTTTCAATAATATTTCATTTTTTCTAATTAAATGTAAAAACAATCTTTAACATACAATTTTTAAAAATTGGTTTTCAAATTCTCTCCCACCTTCCTCTTATCCCACACAGAAGAAGACAAGCAATTTGATATACATTATCTGTGTGCAATCATGCAAAACATATTTCCAAATTATTCACGTTGTAAAAGTAACTAGATCCCCCCCCAAAAAAAAGAAAAAAAAGTGAAAAATATGCTTCGCTCTGCGTTCAGATACCATCAGTTCTTTCTCTGGTCGTGGATAACATTTTTCATCATGAGTCCCTTAGGATTGTCTTGGATCATTGCATTGCTGTCATGTACATAAATGTTACATATTGTACAGTATTGCTGTTACTGTGTATAATGTTCTCCTGGTTCTGCTCACTTCACTTTACATCAGTTCATGTAAGGCTCTTCAGGTTTTTCTGAAAACATCCTGCCCACCATTTCTTACAGCACAGTAGTATTTTGTTACAAACATACAGCACAACTTGTTCAGCCATTCCCTAATTTATGTATATCCCCTGAATTTCCAATTCTTTACTACCATGAAAAGAGCTGCTATAAATATTTTTGTAATAATAGGTCCTTTTTCGCCTTCAAAAAAAGTATCTTTGGGATACAGATCTAGTATTGTTATTGCTAGATTAAAGTTTTATAGCCTTTTGGGAACAGTTCCAAATTGCTCTCCAGAATGGTTGGATCACTTCACAACTCCACCAACAATGCATTAGTGTCCCAATTTTCCACATCCCCTCCAATGTTAAAAACATTTATTAAGCACCTACTATATGCTAGACACTGTGCTAAGTCCTGGGGATACAAAGAAAGGCAAAAGACACTCCCTGCTCTTGAGGGGTTCGTAGTCTAATGGTGACACCTGAGTTTTTGCCTGGGCCTGTGGTACACTTCCTCACTTTTGCCTCTTGGAATCCCTAACTTCCTTCAAAGCTCATCTCAAGAGCTTTCACCTCTTTGAGGCTTTTCCTTGTTTTTCAAAGCTCTAAGTACTCTCTCTCTCCTGAAATTACATCGTATTTATTTTCCTTATTTGGTATAGGGGAAAGAAGACTGGATATGGGAATTCAGACGACCTGTGTTCAGATCTACCCTATGTTGCTTACTGCTTGCCTAATACTGATCGAGTAGCTTAACCTTTATGAATCTTGGGATCTGCATTTGTAAGATGAAGTGTTAGATGTGAAGATCTCTGAGGTTATTTCCAGCTCTAAATTTATAACCCTCTATTTTTATTGCCCAGTGGAATGTAAACTCCTTAAGGACAAAGGCTATTTCATTTTTGCCTTTGTTTCTAGCTTAATACCTTGAATATAAGTTCTTAACAAGTGTTAGTATTATTTCATTTACTGGTTGGTATAGCTAAAGCAAAATTTTACCAGAATAAAAAGTTCAGGAGATGCAGGAGAGTATGATAGAAGGAATGTGAGACTTGGAATCCAGAAGACCTAGGTTCAAGGCCAGACTCTGACACTTACTATCAGTGTGACCTCAGAAAAATAGCTTCATCTCTCTTGGAACTCATTTTCTTCATCTGTAAAAGAAGGATAAAAATATTTGTATTAGCTTGCTGAGTCATTGTGAAGAAGAATGTTGAGTCCAGATCACAAGAGGATCAGTTAAAAGAACAGAATAAAGATGTGCTGGAGCCAGCTCTAACTGGCCAGAGCTAGCTAAAATTTCAGTGTGAGCATTTGCACCTCAGAAATCAGCAAAGTAAAAACCAAGACTTCATTTGTTTTGTTTATTGTCTAGACTTAGAAAGTAGTGGAGAAAATATTAATAATGCAGATTAAACTTAAAATGTGTCATGGGTACAGTTTTATTTTTATTTTTGGAAAGTCAGTTGTTAAACATTTGTTAGACTACCCCCAGAACAGGGCGTGTTTAGCCAGGAGAAGAGAATAAAGAATAATTGTCTTCACAAATTTCCCCAGAAGGGAATCCAGCACCAAGATGTTAGAGCTAGAAGGCCTGGGTGATCACCCAATATACCTCTCTCATTTTAAAGAGGAGGAGATGGGCTTTGGGCATGAAAAGTGAAAGGTGGCTCTTGAACTCAGGTCTTGACCTCCAAACACTGAGTGTCCAAGGTATCTGACTCCTTAATCAACAAGCATTTATTGAACACCTACTATGTACAGACACTGTGTTAAGCACTGGATATGTATCCTCAAGAATATTATATTCTAATGGAGGAGACAACATGAATATGTATGTATGTATATGTGAGTGTGTGTGTGTGTGTGTGTGTGTGTGTGTGTGTGTGTGTATCTGTAACAGTTAGGAGGCAGCCAAGTGGCTCAGCGAATAGAGCCTTGGAGTCAGAAGGACCTAAGTTCAAATCCAGCCTCAAACATTCACTGGCTGTGTGACACTGGGCAAGTCATTTGACCTCTGTTTGCCTAATCCACTGGAGAAGAAAATGACAAACCACTCCAATATCTTTGCCAAGAAAATCCAGTACCGGGTCACAAAGAGTTGGACACTGAACAACAACAAATGTGAAGGAGGAATGAGACCTGTTCCTTTTGGCTCCAGAGGTCAAGACCAGGAGTAAGAGGTAGAAGTAGCAAAGAGGCAAGTTTAGGTTCAATTTCAGAAATAAGGACTAAGTCTGTCCAAAAGTAGAAAGGGATACCTAGAGAAATGGTAGATTCCTTCTCACTAGAGGTCTTAAGGAAAACACTGAACAACCACATGTCAGATATGTGATAGTTTGCATATAGGTTAGACTAGATAGCTCCTAAGGAGCTTCCAACCCTTAAATCCTATAATACTGTGAGGAAAGAAGGAGCTTTGCAAAGTATTATATGTGTGTGCATATGAGTTATTGTAACCAACATGACATACACAATGGTACTAGTAATATTTCAGTGATAGTACTATATAGTACTTTAAAGATTATCTTGGTTGATCAACTGTGAAAGACTTGGGTACTCTCATCAATACAGTGATCCAAGAGAATTCCGAAGGACTCATGATGAAAAATTGCTATACGCCCCCAGAGAGAGAGCTGCTGAATTCTGAGTGCAAATTGAAGTATAATTTTCTCACTTTATTTTTCTTGCTTTTTCTAAAAAAAACCCAGCTAATATGGAAATATGTTTTTCATGACTTCTCATGTATAATTGATATCATATTGCTTGTCTTCTCAGTGGGCAAGGGAGGGGTGGACGGAAGAAAGCTGGAACTTCGAACTTGAGATTTTGATAGAAAAGAATGTTATAAATAAATAATTAAAAAATTAAAGTTTTTAAAAAGTAAATAATGTCTAGGCCATTGCCCTTTTCCCCCATCTCCTTACCACCATCACCATTTTTAAAGCAGGGCTATCTAATCTATCACAGGTAGCTAGCTGGCTATCCTGTTTTCTAAAGATACATAGAAAATGAGTGTCTGCAAGTATCCCTTGATAATTTATTCCAGGCTTTCACAAAATTGTAGTCAGGAATTTCTTAATCTCAAATCTGAATTTCTCTTGCTGAAATGTAGCTATATTCTCTTTTGCCTCATAGAAAGTGAAAATTGATATTTTGTTCTTTCTAGACAGTCTAAAAGGTTCTTTGCTGTGTGTCCTACCTTATAGCAGAAAGCAGCAACTCTCTCATTCCACTTCCCATAGGTCTTTGATGTCTCATCAACATTGCCTTCTTCAAATACCATCACATAAGTTCCTTGATTAAAAAAAAAAAAAAAGATGGCAATTTAAACATCTTCGCATCTCTCACAACACTAACTACATTTGATTTAGTAAAAAATAATAGCTCATAGTGCTGTATCGCTTTGAAGTTGCTATGAGATGTTGCAAATATTATTATTCCTATTTCACTAATGAGGAGACTGAGAATCTAAGAAGCTAAGTCACTTATTCAAGGTCATTTAAGTAATGGAAAGCAGATGGCAAGGTATAGTAGGAGTGATGGATTTGGAGTCAGAGGATCTGAGTTCAAATTCTGGCTCTGCCCTGTGTGACCTTAGATAAGTCACTCAACTTTCCTGGGCCCTCAGTTTCCCCATTGTATATAAAGAATTAAGGAGTTTGTTCTGCTTGGTGAAATTATAGATAAGAAGTTCTTAATCAATTTTTTGCATCCATATTAACCTCTTTAAACAATGCATATAAACAATTGCATATAAAAGGATGCCCCTTCCACCTCCAAATCAATGACACCAGTGTGTACCTAAGATGAGATTTAAATAGAGGCTTTTGTTAACTGTAAGTTAGTACTTTTTTTTATACTACCATCATCTCTGTAGAAATGCTTTTTGATTTGATTGCAAAGTACCCTAATTACATCTAGTGCTATACTAGACAAAAGTATAGGTCTTTTTGCTATTAAAACTTAGATTTTAAGGAAAAAGATGTTAATGTATACAGTTATGTAAAGGCCCATAAAGGCTAGGTCTACACAAAGCCAAAAATCTAGATAAGAAGCAAAAATCTTAATCATTCACCCAGGTCTACAATGATACCAAGCATCTCGATGCTTGACTGCATATTTAATTTTTCACTTGGAAATTGGACATCATAAAGAATAAACAAATTTAAACACATTTTTTTATTAAAAGATTTATTGAGACCTTTTGTTTTTATATCAACTTTATTTCTGAATATATCTGAATATTCTGAATATATCCCTCTCCTTCCCCCAATCCATTACCTCATTCCTTGTAACAAATAATTAAAAAATAAAGAAAAAGATCAGTGGAACAAAATCAACTAATCTAGCAATTGAATCTGATAATTTATACAATGTTCCTTATCTATAATCCCCTACCTTTACAAAGAAGAGCAAGAGAGATGAATTTTCTGATCTCTTCTAAGGATTCATCATTTCTCTCAGTCATTATAATTATATAACTAAGCACATATTTTTTACAGGCACAGAAGAATATAGTTTCTGGATTCCTGAAATTTGGACAAATAAAAAAGATTGCATATATGTCAAAAGCATATACTGTACATTATTTTTTATAGAAGATACCTTTTGCTGTATTCATGTGGGAAAGCACCATTAATAAAAATGTGATAAATCTTTACTTTCTTTACCCCATCCTCCCAAACAAATGCAGAAATAATGTCCACTTTTTGAAGGTTAGCATTGTGGAGTAGATAGAGAACTGATCTTAGAGTTAAAAAAAAAACCTTATGTTCAAGATCTGCTCCTTCCATATGTCAGATATATAATACATGGGAAAGCTGTTTAACCCCTCAGTGCTCAGGCACCTTTCTAATACTACAAATTATAATGAGTTGATAACCTTCATCACTGCAGAGGAAGGACTTCAGGGTGTTGGTAGAATTCTCTACAAAGAATTTACACAAAGTTGTGAACATGGATACCACAGAATGAAGGAGCCATGATCTGCATTGTTGAGGAGGGCACTCAAATTGAGGGGATCACAGGTCCATCACAATATTGAAATCTGTTGGGACCCAATATTTCCTGCTCTAAAATTACCATGGAAACCAATAGGAAATTATAATTTGCTATACTTTAAAAATGCCTTTTAGGAACATATCTCATGAACAAAGTAAAACCACGCATATTGTGATTTGCAAAAACAAAGCAATTAAAAGTCATCACACATAATTACTAACTCAGGCTCAGCACTTTAATTTTGGGAAAGCTTAGTCTCTCATTCAGTCAGTGTTACCACTGAGTTGTCTTAGTGTTGCTAATAAGAACAGAGAATGAATTTAGAATCTACCCACTGTATACTTTTGTCTATCTATCACTGTAGTGAATTTTTTGTGTATGTGAATTGGAGTCAGAGTTACACTAAATGCTGATAATTTCCTACATAATCTCTGGTCCTCTTGAAATGCTATAGAGCCTTTCCAATGGCGCTTATCTCATTCTGCATTGGTATTTGAGTTATTGTTATTGTTATTATTATTATTTTTTTTTTTAGTGAGGCAGTTGGGGTTAAGTGACTTGCCTAGGGTCACACAGCTAGTAAATGTCAAGTGTCTGGTCTAAGACTGGATTTGAACTCAGGTCCTCCTGTCTCCAAGGCCAGAGCTCTATGCACTGTGCCACCTAGTTGTTCCTGTTATTGTTATTTCTGAACCAGTCTCGGGCTTCCTAGGAGATTGTAAACTCCTTGAAAGTGATAATCTTTATACCATCAACCCCTTTCCCAAACACCAATCACAGTAAGTCGCTCTCAGTTGGTTCTTCATAAAGATTTGTTGAACCAAATTGGATACACACACATACACACACATGTTATATCTATCTATCTATATCTATTTATCTATCTATATCTATATCTATCTATCTATCTATCTATCTATCTATCTATCTATCTATCTATCTATATCTATGTCTATATCTATATATCTATCTATCTATATCTATATCTATGTCTATGTCTATATCTATATATGCACACCAGGAAGACTTCTGGGTCACATGAGCAGCAAGATGAAAGACTAGACATTTTCTTTAACGTCCATAAACTCTCATACATCATCAAAACAGAAATTATGCTCCAAATATAAAGCCATTTCAGTTGTTTCCATGGTCTAGGATACCTAGAATTCAAAAGAAGGTTGAAAAAACAAAACAAAACCCAGTAACTGATATTTTCTGACCATGAGCTCGTTCAGCATCCCTCTCTCACCTCCTGCACTACCAACATGAAGGCTGCACTAATAGACTTAAAAATGTGACAGATTTACATCAAAACAATGCCTGTACTCCAGTCTACCCTCTTTCTTTCTAGTGCCATAGAGCCCTGGCTCTAGGCTGTAGAAGTTTCCTCAAGTTTCAACTGCCAGCTTGGCTACATACCTCAAGAGCAAAAGCCTGTGTGTGTGGGTAGGTGGGGTGGGGGAGTGGGGTTGAAATCTAGAAGCCCCAGCACTGATGTGGGAAAAGCAGCTTCTGCCAGTGTCAGGAAAAGCAGGCTCTGAACTGTTGATGCAAACAAGATCTGAACTTCTGGTATTGAACCAGAGAACTAAGGAAAAAGAGAGAGTGGGATAGGATACAACACAGGACACAGTCCATGTGGGGAGCTATGCAGCACTCCATCAAGCCTGAGGGAAGAACACAGCATTTAGCAAGGATCAGTTCTGACCACCCAGAGTCAGTTGGGGCACAGATCTAGGCTGGTGAACCATGAATTGCCCAGTGTGGGAGGAGACTGAGATGCTCTGAGATCCAGTTCGAAAGGAAACACATTCAGAGGGGAGGGAGTCAAAAGTGAACAATTAGAAAAATAAGAAAGGGGTGGGGGAACAACTGAAAGCACCAAAGATTCCCAGAAGAAAAAATCTCAAAGATCTTGAACATAAATCGATAAATCAACAGGAAAAACAGTAACAGAAGAAAATATGGTCTCTAGATCTAGTAAATGAGTTCAGACATCTATGAATAAATTCTGCAAAATGGAGGAGAATGATCCAAAACCTGATGAGAAGAGAATCTTGCTGAATTTGAGAAGAATGTGGGACTACAACACCCTGTTATGAGTGGTTTAAAAGAGAAATGAGAATTATGAGAACAGAATGTATGTCTTGCACAGTACAAAATAATGAATGGAATAGAAAAACTTGAATGTACAATGACGAGCTTCACCAAAGAAATAAAAGACAAAAAAATAGATTGAGAATGCAAATACACAAAAGCAAAAGACAACTTAGAAAAAGAGAAACAAAAAACAAGAACATTAAAAGAAAATATGCTCACTGTGTAAGCAAAATGTATAGCTCTAAAAGACAAGATGTGTAAAGACAACCTAAGAATCATAGGTCTCCCAAAAGAATATGACAAGGCAAAACACTTTAACACCATAATGCAGGAAATAATAGAAGAGAATTGCCCAGGAAAAATTCCAATTGAAATAATTCACGGATCGCCTCTAAAGGAAGAAAAAGCTACAAATTCCAAGATACATATTGGTTAAATTGAACAATTCAATTAAAACAAAACCAACAAATTCTGCAAGTCATCAAAAAAAAGACCTTCAAATACAAAGGAAAGGACATGGGAATAATGCAAGACTATTCCACAACCCAGGAGAAAAAGGTGGAGAGAATGGGATAATGTGTTCCAAAGAACGCTGGAGTTCACCTCGCTGCCCAGGGTGACCTTTCCGGCAAATCTGAGCTTAACCATACATAACAAAAGAGAATTGTTCAATAACAAAAAATTTGAAACATTTTTTAGAAAGAAAACAAGAACTAAGGAGATTATTTGCTTCTCAAACATTCTAAACAACAGAAATACAGGAAGGGTGAATAAATGCAGACAGCAACAACAACAGAATGATAAAGAGAAATACCAGTAAGATATTTCTTTCTAAATGCCCACAAATAGAAGTGAATGCGGAAATCTGGTAGAGGTGACAATGAAGAGGACAGGGGGCATTATGGACAGAATCTAGTTATACCCTGCCTATAGGTGAATGCTTCTTTTCTGGGACTACATTACAACATGGGAGGGTCCATCAAGGGATAGTGGAACAGGAAATAGGGAGGAGTGAGACATGTGCTGGATTCAAATCAAAAGATAGTAATAAGGGGAAGGTGACCTCTGTGATCTCAGAATAAGAAGAGCCTACAGGGGAGTAGGTGAGGAGGAGGGGGAGAGGAATTAAAAAGGGGGAGAAAGGAAGAAAGCCTTACTTTGGAGGTGGGAAGGAGTTTCACTGATGAATGATCCTACAGGTAAAGCGAGATGAGAACCTTGCACTGGATGAGGCCTGAGGGATCTAGTGACTGAAAAGTCTGTCTTGGGAAATGAGCAACTGGAACTCCTGGGGGCAACTAATACCTGCAAGAGTGAGAGAACATGGACATAGGGAAATGTGTTGGGGGGGGGAAAGGTCAACAAGAGAGGTTATAGATCAGTGGGGATAGTGGGGAAGTACCCTACTACGGGCAGTGCACTCTGTGACACCTGCAATAACAAGCACTGTTCTGAGAGTGAGGCACAATGGAAAAGGGGAATCTATAGGGTAAGCCTTTGTAATCGAAAGGATTACTTACTGCGCAGATTCGTTTTAGGTTTGGATCTCAAGATATGATGAAACGTACTCAGTATAAACGTAACAAATAATCACATTTATTTTACAATGATTAATAAAGATTAAGGCAAAACACACACATAAAGATAAGAAAACATTCAATATAATAAGTAATAATCAAAGTAAAGGAAAGGGGGAATAAGAAAAGAAAGGATACACACTCACTGACCAGGAGAGCTCAAATACCTAATAGCCCGGGGAGACTGGAGGACGGCCAAGAGGTCTGGTCAGGCAGGCCAATGGAGCGGTCCGCTTCTGAACACAACAGAGATTCGGCGTCCTTATCTCTGACATCAAAGTCTCCCAAAACTCCTTTCCAAGTGACCCCTTTTATATCTATGCAAACCAGGAAAAGACAATCTTAATGTTTTGTTTTGTGCATGTATCCTTGGTGAGCTCAGGTCCAGGCACGCAAACATCTTTAACAAAAGCTGGGGCTTGATCAGAGCCCCAAAATACCTGTTTGTTGTGTAAGTCTCCAAGGAGTGATCAATTCCTTAAACAGTTATACACTTTTCTCAAGAAAAATGTTCCTTGAGATGAATTGCTTTCCCAGGTAAAAGCTTGTTGGTTATTTAATGTTCCATTTCCATAGTCACCTGCCATGCATGGTAACTCCCATCTATCTTTATGTCAGGTCATGAGGCAGTTATACCGTTAGGTCATGAGATGGTTACACAGGGGCCTGAGGATGATCCTCAGTTTCCCTTACAGCCTTACAAGGCAGTGGCAGAAAGTGGCTAGAGAGCAAAGGTTGGAATGGATATCTTGATAACTTTGATTGCATGAAAAATATAGAGAAAAGAAAGAGATCAGTTGATTAGGGGGGTCATGAATCAGAGAATGAGGGTCTAGAGTAAACAGAAAGAGGAGATCAATAATGAATACAGTGAAAGAAATCCTTTTTGGAAAGAAATACAAAAAATGAAATAAAAAAACTAATAAATAAGACTAGCTGAAGAGGAGGAGAGGAAAATAGAGGGGTGGGGGAGAAATAAATAATCACATAAATGCAACAGAGAGGAACTAATAAACAAAACACTAAAGTGAAAGGGGTAGAAAGTAAGAAGAGGGGATCAAGAAAATGGGAGAAGAGCTGGTAGGAATAGTGCCTCCTTTAAAAAAAAAAAGATTAAGGTAACCAGAGGAAGATAATACTATGTTTATAGTAGAAGAGGGGAAAAATTCATAACCTGAAAAATAAAACAATTTTAGATATAGATGGAAGAAAATATAAACCTAACTCTTATAATTTTAAATGTAAATGGATTAAACGATCCAATAAAATGAAAAAAAAAGAGTAACAGTTTGGACCAGAAAACAAAACTCTGCTTGCAAGAAACACATTTAAATAATAATGCATTCACAAAATAAAACTAAGAAAATGGAGAAAAAATTTACTATGCATCAAGTGAATTTAAAAAAGCAGGTGTTGTCATCAATGTATCAGGCAAAACAAACACATTATAATGATGAAACAGCATACCAAAATTTCTGGGATGCAGCTAAAGCAGTCCTCCATGGGAAATAATATTCCTATAAACATATATTTAATAAATAGAAAAGAGAAGACTAATGAACTGAATATGCATTTAAAACATTAGAAAATCAAATAAACATATCTAAAATAAGCACAAAAGAGAAGATATTAAAAATTAGAGAGAAAACAGGGAAATTAGAAACAAAAGACCCCATAGAATTTATTTTAAAAAAAAACCCTAAAAGCTGGTTCTTTGAAAAAAACTAATAAAGTTGATAGACCCTTGGAAGATAATCAAATTATAAAGAAGAGAGCAGAAAAACAAATCAATAAAATAGCAAAAGAGCAAAGTGAAATCACAGCAAAACCAGAAAAAATAAAAAGAATAATCAGAATATGTGCACAACAATATGCTAACAGAACTGAGAACACAAAAGAAAATGAAGAATAGTTTCAAAAATAGAAAATACCCAAACTATCAAAGGACCAGATAGAGATCTTTATGAAACAGTTTCAGAAAAAGAAATAGATCTAGCTGTAAAGAAACTACCCAAGGAAAAAAAAATCTCTTGGACCTGATCAATTCACCGGAGAATTCCATCAAACTTTTTAAAGAACAGTTGGTACTCATACTTCACAAATTATTCTCAAAACTTGAGAGAGAATACTGCCAGAATACTTTTATGAGACAAATATAGTCCTAATACCTAAACCAGGGAAAAATAAAACACAAAAATAAAACTGTAGGCCAATATTATTAATAAACATTGGCTCAAAAATTTTAAATAAAATCACATCAAACAGATTATAGTGATTTATTCAAGAAATCATTCATTATGATCAAGTGACATTTATACCAGGGGTGCAAGGATAGTTCAACATTAGTAAAAACAAACAAGAAAATTAATCAGATTAGAATCCCAAACAACTAAAACCACATGATCATCTCTTTTTTTCTGAAGGATCAGGAAAGACTTCACGATATGACGCCTAAACAGGAAAAGGATGATTTCAAAGTCAAGATAGAGAGAAAGCCATCCCAAGAAAGGCGGATTTGTTGTTGTTGAGTTGTTTCATGTCCAACTCTTTGTGACCCCTTCTGGGGTTTTCTTGGCAAATACTGGAGAGATTTGCAATTTCCTTCTCAAACTCATTTTATAAGATGAGGAAACAGAGGCAGAGTTAAATGAATTGCCCAGGGTCACACTGATCTAGCAAGTGTCTGAGGCCAGATTTGAATTCAGGTCATCCTGACTCCTGGCCCAGCACTCTATCCATTGCACCATATAGCATATGCAAAATACATAGAGCAGGCAGCAAATATGGAGCTACCATGGGACAAATAGAGCTTTGCTTTAGGTATTGGCATCTGGTGGGGAGGGATGAGCTTTTCCCATCCCCAAAGTGTTTTCTTTTCTTTTCTTTTTTTTTTGTTAATATAAATTTATTTCTTTTTAGTTTTCAACATTTACTTCCACAAGATTTTGAGTTCCAAATTTTCACCCCATCTCACCCCTCCCTCTGCCCCAAGATGGCATGCATTCTGAATATCCCCTCTCCCAGTCTGCCCTCTCCTCTATCTCCCCCCCATCCCCTTCCCCTTCTACCCTCCTGCAGGGCAGGATAGACTTCTGTACCCCACTTCATGTATTTCTTATTTCCCACTTGCATGTGAAAACATTTTTTTTAAACATATGCTTCCAAAACTCCAGGTTTCAAATTCTGTCTCCTCCTCCTTCCCCCCCCCCCCCACCGAAAAGGCAAGCAATTCAACACAGGCCGTACATGTGCAGTCAGGCAAAACACCTCTACATCAGACATGTTGTGAAAAACTAACTCTACCTCCCTTAATCCTATCCAGCCCTCCCATTCACTCCACTCTTTCCCTTGACCCCATCCCTCCCCAGAAATATCCCCCCCAATCTGCCCTCCTCTCCATCATCCCCCCTGTCCTGTCCCCCTGTCCCTCCACTTTCCTGCAGGGCAAGACAGATTTCCATACCCAATTGAATGTGTATGCTATTCCCTGCATAAGCCAAATCCTATGAGAATAAGGTTCACTCATTCCCTCTCACCTTCCCCCATTTCCCCTCCACTGTAAGAGCCTTTTCTTTTTTTTCTTTTTTTTTTGTGAGATAATTTACCCCATTCTACCTCTCCCTTTCTTCTTCTCCTAGTATAATCCTCTCATCCCTTAATTTTATTCAACTCACCCTGTGCCATCTATCTATCTATCTGTGTATATCTATATCTATTTATCTATCTATCTATCTAGCTATATATACATACATACACATAATTTTTTCCCTCCAACTACCCTAATACTGACAAAGGTTTCATGAGCTATAAATATCATCTTTCCATGCAGGAATGTAAACAGTTCAACCTTAATAAGTCTCTTATGATTTCTCTTTCCTGTTTACCTCTTCATGTTCCACTTGAGTCCTGTATTTGAAAGTCAAATCTTCTATTCAGCTCTGTTCTTTTCTTCAAGAATGCTTGAAAGTCCTCTATTTCACTGAATAACGATTTTTCCCCCTGAAGGATTATATTCAGTTTTGCTGGGTAGGTGATTCTTGGTTGTAATCCTATCTCCTTTGCCCTCCGGAATAATTATATTCATGGCCTACAGTCCTTTAATGTAGAAGCTGCTAAATCTTGTGTTATCCTGATTGCGTTTCCACAGTACTCGAATTGTTTCTTTCTGGCAGCTTGTAATATTTTCTCCTTGACCTGGGAACTCTGGAATTTGGCTCCAATATTCCTAGGAGTTTTCCTTTGGGGATCTCTTTCAGGAAGAGATTGGTGGATTGTTTCAATTTCTATTTTGCCCTCTGGTTCTAAAATATCAGGGCAGTTTTCCTTGATAATTTCTTGAAAGATAATGTCTAGGAAGTTTTTTTGATTATGGCTTTCAGATAGTCCAGTAATTTTTAAGTTCTCTTTCCTGCATCTATTTTCCAGGTCAGTTGTTTTTCCAACGAGATGTTTCACATTCTCTTCTATTTTTTCATTCATTTGGTTTTGTTTTTGCAATATCTTGATTTCTCATAAAGTCACTAGCTTCCAATTGCTCTATTCTGATTTTTAAGGAAGTATTTTCTTCAGTAATCTTTTGGACTTCCTTTTCCATTTGGCCAATTTTTCTTTTTAGGGCATTCTTCTCCTCATTGGCTTTTTGAACCTCTTTTGCCGTTTGGATTAGGCTATTTTTAAAGGTGTTATTTTCTTCAGTATTTTTTTGGATCTCCTTTAGCAAACTGTTGACTTGTTTTTCATGATTTTCTTATATCACTCTCATTTCTCTTCCCAGTTTTTCCTCTACTTCCCTTACTTGCTACTCAAAATCCCTTTTGAGCCCTTCCAAGGCCTGGGACTGATTCATATTTTTCTTGGAGGCTTTGGATGTAGGAGCTTTGACTTCGTTGTCTTCTTCTGGTTGTATATTTTGATCTTCTTTGTCACCAAAGTAAGATAATATGTTCTGACTCTTTTTGCGCTGCTTGCTCATAATCCCGGCCAATTACTTGAGTTTTAAACTCTTTGTTAAGGTAGGAATCTGCTTCCAATGTGGAGAATGTACTGTCCCAAGCTTCGGGGGTTTGTACAGCTGTTTTCAGAGATGCTTGTAGGGACCTGTAAATTTTCAGTTCTTCCAGGGTGGTATGACAAGGGGCAAGTGTCTACTCCTTTCCTGGCCTGTACTCTGGTCTTTTAGTGTCCACATGTACTCCTTTCTGTACCAGAACTGTGAAGAGGGTTTCCTCTTGACAGCCACTACAATGCCAGCATTCCTCATCACCCCAGGACTTCTGCCCAGAACTGTGACCCAGATCCAAGCACAGGCAAAACAAGAGAATCCTGCCTCAGCCCTGGAAAAGAAATCCTTGCAATTCCTCTCTGATCAGCCACTTGATTCCAGCTCAGTCTGTGGGCCAGAAGCTCAAGAGGCAGCTGCCCCCTGGGGAAACTGGAGCTGCCATCCCTGCTTTCCTCTCTCAGCACCGTAGAAACAGACTTTTCCCACTGACCTTCTAAGTTATCTTTGGCATTCATGGGTTGAGAAGTCTAGAAACTGCCACAGCTGCCTGTGATTCAGTCCTCTGAGGCCTGCTCCAAGTTTCCTGCAGCCCAGTGCGATATAGCTTTCTGATCAATCATCCGGGTTGTCTTGGGCTGGAAATTTGTTTCCCTCTATCTTTTTGTGGGTTCTGTTGCTTTAGAATTTGTTTAGAGCCATTTTTTTATAGGTATTTGGAGGGGTTTGGGGGAGAGCTCAAGCAAGTCACTGCTTTCACTCTGCCATCTTGGCTCCATCCCCCCCAAGTGTGTTTTTTCTACTGTTCTGTGGTTATTCCATATGACTTCCCCTTCATCTGACCCAAGTCGGCTTCCTCCGGGATGCTACACAGGACATAGGAAATCAGTGCGAGATCATTGGCAGTTGTGTTCATGAGCACTGGAGTAGGGGCATTCAGTACCAAAGCCAACTTTTGCCCTCCTTGTCTCTACATAGTAAACTTACTCCGGGCTCCCCCAGTCCTTAACTTCTTCTGCCTTCCCTTTTAATTGTATTCTTTGAAACCTTCCTTTATTATTCATTAACTCCCCTTCATCCTAGATCTCTTTAATTTATTTCTCTTCTATCTTCTGGTATTCACTGAAACCTATCTTTTTCCTAAAGACACTACCTAGGCAGCCTCTCTAAAGCTGGCTGCTTCTTCTCTAATATTCTCTGATATACAGGACTGAGAAGAAGAACTGACATACTTTTACCTTCCTGCCACTACTTTTAGATTCTCCCAGTACCGTCGTTCAGTAACCATCTGTGGTTCTTTAAAGTTCCCTCCAGCTTGTCCGGATCCTTGTCTGTCATCCATGGATAACTCTGGGTCACTTTCCTTCTACCACAATAAGTTTGGAATCTGGGTAATGGTCTCCTTTTCCATCCCTAAACCCAACCCGCTTTGAACGTCCTAAGGCCTCAAACTCCTTAACTCCCATGAGGTTCCATTACCATTCTATAGCAACTATTCATGGGAATGATTATAACTTGGACTCTATAATACCATCTGACCTTCATTTACTGAATTCCTAGTTATGGATCTGAGTAGGACAGAAAAGGAGGGAGTTGGGAAAAGCGAATAATTGAATCACCCTGGAACTCACTAGATCTGCGTATAAGTTGTCTGCATGCTAAGAAAAGCGCGGTGTCCCAGACTAAGTAGATGAGTGTCCTTGCTGTATTCTGCCTTGGTCAGATCAAGTCTGGAATATTGTGTTCAGTCTGAGTGCTGTATTTTAGGAAAATAAGGTTGACAATTGCTAAGGTGGAGATTATCCAGGGGCTGGTCACCGGCATGATGTAGAACCTGTAGATCATGATGTCTGAGACTCAGTTGAATAAAATGGGGGTGGATGAAAAATTGTGATGATAAATTTAGGATTGAAATCTTCATAATGACTAGAGCTATTTAAAAATGGGTTCCCTCAGGAAAGAGTGGGTTCCCTCCTTACTTCAGGTCCTTGGGCTCAGACTAGCTAGCCATTTGTTGAACATTTTGTAGAGGGTGAGGAGCCTTGTTTAGGATTGGATGGTACTGGATCACCTGTGAGGTTGCTTCCAACTCCAAGGTTCAGGGTGGTTCAGTGGATAGAACTATGGCCCTGAAGTCAAGAAGACCTGAGTTCAAATTCGGCCTCAGACCAGACACTTGACACTTACTAGATGTGTGACGCTGGGCAAGTCATAACACTGATTGCCAAAAAAAAAAAAAGCCAACTCCAAGGTTCTGTGATGCTATAAGCAAAGGTTGAATGAAAGAGGGTCGTATGAAATAAAATTTAAAGAGAGTAGAGGAATCAGACTGTTCAAGGCTTTCAAATGCCATGATAAGGGTTTTTTGTATTTATAGTAGATAATGGGGGAGGACAACTTAATGTTTTTGATCACACTTGTGTCAACAGATCTATGTATACTTAGGAAAGATTACTTTGGCAAAAGCATAAAGGATGAATTAGTTAAAGTAGAGAGTGGAGGTGAAGTGGGTAGGGAAACCAGTTGGGAAGCTTATTGCAAAAGTCAAGGCAAGAAGTGATGAGAAGGGATGGGGATGAGGAAAAATATGTTTCAAAAAAACTCTAGAGGTAGCAATAATAGAACTTAGCAGATTGGCTGTGGGAGAGAGAGAGAGAGAGAGAGAGAGAGAGAGAGAGAGAGAGAGAGAGAGAGAGAGAGAAGTCAAGAGTTAGGAATAACAGATTTTTCACCTAAGCAACTAGAAGAATTGTGGCACCTTCAAAAAAATAAAAGGAACTTAGGAGGAGGAGGTACAAGTTTTGGCAAGAAGGTAGAGTATAGAGTATAGTTTTGGGATTGACTTTGACTTTGAGGTGTTGGTAGGAAATGGTGGGAAACTCCAAACAGCATTTAGAAATTCAGGACTAGAACTCAAGTGACAGGTTAGGAGTAGAAATATGGACTTTTGTACTGAGTAAAGCCTTGAGAATGGGTTACATCACAAAGAAGGAAGTATGGAGAGAGAACCAAAGAGATTTACAGACAGAACCTTGAGGAATGTCTACCCTTAAGGAGGAGAAAGAGGACCCAAGGAATGTGAAAGAGAAGAGTAGTCAGAGAAAGAAGGAGAAAATAAGGATAGAAGAGGATTATAGAATCTCAGAGTTATCTTTTTTAGCTCATTTATCTTTTGCAACTCATACTTGAACAGAAATCTCTTCTACAACATCCCTGACAAATGAACATTTGATAGATCTTCTGTGATGGAAAATCTCCAACTTCCCCATATAGCTCATTTCCCTTTAGGCTAGCTCTAACCCTTAGTTAGCTTTCCCTTACTTTGTGCCTAACTATGAGCTGTCATAGAAACCAGGAGATGAACAATATTGAGGAAAGTATGATTAGTAAGTAGTGTCAAATGTCAAGCTGTGAGCTTGCTTTTATTTCACAAAGTGACTATATATGTTGGGATTAGAATTAACTTTTAGAAAAACTCAGGCTTCTTGTCTCTTTTTCTATGTGATGCTCACACTCTGTGTCCTGACATTCATGTGGTTATATTGAAGGTCATTGTCTCATCCCATCTTTCATCCACATGTTGTCTGCCTTTTTATTGTTCCCACATGTTGCATGTTTTCACTTACTCTTGGGAAAGGAATGAATATTCTTTCTTTTACAATATCAAAGCCTTTCTCAAAACCATTCTCCAAGTTCCTTTTCCTGAGGGTTAGAGAGGACTGAATTTCCTGTTAAGCTCACGGCTGTTTATGTCCACTGGGTTACTCCGTGTGAACATTATTCATCATCTAGTCTATATATAGTTTGTAACCTGGGGACCACAGAATGATTAGAGGAGATCCATAAACTGGCATAGGAAAAAAATTCATCTTTATTTCAATATAGTTGGTTTTCTTTGAAATCCTACATATTTTATTTTATGAATTT